GCAAAATGTCCCAAACTTCTTGCTTCCAAGCTAAATGTCTGGAGAGATTTACAGGATCAATCTGATGCTTCCCCCTTTTTTTGAACCAAGAAGGGACACCTTAGCAAGACACTCACCTGGTTACGATCCTACCCATGAAGTAGACACTATAAATTTCTTTAACGTCACCTTTCACAGTCAAGATGGCTGACCCGGTCACAGGCTGAATGGGCTGAAGAGAGAAGAAGGGGGAAATTTTTTTCCCAGACCTTTCCAGGGAGTGCCCAAGTCGAAAACCGCCGTTTTGATCTGTTTTTGACCACAGTGTTAAAAAAAGGGAAAACGTAACCCTCTTTGTCACCCAGTTTTCCCCTCAACCATTTTAAAATGGTGTCTCCTATGAGGCAGAACCACTTTTCCTCATTAAAACCAACCAGGAATTTTCATACCACTTGCCTTTGAGATGGCTTTGCTTGCACTGATTTATTCCAGGGTGTAAATCTGGAATCTTTCCAAGCAAAGCGTGTCCTCTGTCCATGAGATGGATTCTACCTTTGTTCTTACAGGAGAAACTAGCCCTGTTAGACCACAAGTACTAACTTCTCCTGGTTGAATCATCCTCCACCGAAATGAATGCAATACAGTTTCGAAAACCGGAGGATGCTTCCAAAGCGGCAACTCACATCGGAGCCAGCAGGGGGCACCCAAGAAATATTGATCGTCTTGGTCTGTCCACGTTCCACCGTGCCTTTCACGGGGTCAACGGTGAAGCCTTTGAGCTGCAGAACTTGCAGGCTTTCCCAGCTGAACTCCACGTTCTGCAGAAAAAAAGAAAAGATGGGCAAGTGGGTCGGTCAGATTCTTTGCCGCCGCCGGGGAAACCTTCGGCCACGAGGTAGAAACAGATCAACCGGCTACGGGCCCCAGTTTTCAGCAATCAGTTTTGGCTTTGTTCATACTGGTTTTTTTTGGGGGGGGGGAGAGGAAGCGACGATGGCTGTGTGTCCTTCCTGGCGGATAACAGCTAGGAGAGGAGTGCCGGTCAAGAGTGGAGATCAAAATTTTGTTTTTTAAGCCGGTGATTGTTAATTTTTATAGAGGCCGGCTGGAGAGTTCAGTGAGTGAGGTCTCTGGCTGCGGAGCCAGAAGTGGGGAGTTCGATTCCCCCACTGGGCCTCCTGTGAAGAAGAGCCAGCCTGGGTGGCTTTGGGCCAGCTGCACAATCTCAGGGCAGCCCCCAGAAGAAGGGAACAGTAAACCAGAATTGATTTGATAGCACATCATCACCATCGTTATTCATTAATTTATTGTTAATTTAATTTATTTTTGAGTAAGGCCTGTATTTCTAATCCTGTACGCTGGGGATTAGCGCAAGCTCTGTGGAGCCATCAGCAGCCATAGGATTCCACTACGGATTGCATCCTCCACCCAAATACCCCAAAACTGTAAGTGGTCACATTTACGCCCCTCCGTTTCTTCTCCTCCGTCTTGAAGCCCATTCTTCCCAACCAGTATGGAGGCGCCTTGACATAGGATGAGTCGATTTTGACTTATGGTGACCCTTTTTTTATGGTTTTCCAGGGAGAGGATACTGAGAAGGATACCCTTCCCTTCCTCCAGGGGGCACCCTGGGACTGTGCAGCTGGCCCAAGGCTACCCAGGCTGGCTCTTCTCTCTGGAGGCACTGTGGGGGGAACTGAACCCCCAACCTCTAGCTCTGCAGCCAGATGCTGTACGACTGGGCTATGCAGCCAGCTCAAAACGACTAAGGTCCCTACGCTTTCCAATTCCTGCTCTTTCCGTTCACCGTACCTTCTTTCCGTGGAGGGAACTGAACCCCCAACCTCTAGCTCTGCAGCCAGATGCTGTACGACTGGGCTATGCAGCCAGCTCAAAACGACAAAGGTCCCTACGCTTTCCGATTCCTGCTCTTTCCGTTCACCGTACCTTCTTTGAGGCAAACTGGGTGGTCCGTATGGCCCCGACTCTCAATTCCCTCACAGCGGGTATGACAAAAGTCTCTGACTGAACACACTCCAGGCTGATGAGCAGGGAATTCGTGGCCTTCTCGTTTTCTGTAGGAGACACAAACGCGTCAGTTTTTGGAGGGAAGCTGGCCAGCTCCCTCTGCGTTTAGCTGAGGTTCCTGTGGCCGTTCTGGCAACTGAGCAGGGCTGTTGACGACCAGACCTTTTGGAGAGGGCTCATTCATAGGGTCGGAGGGAAGTTGGCCAGCTCCCTCTGCATTTAGCTGGGGTTCCTGTGGCCGTTCTGTCAACTGAGCAGGGCTGTTGATGACCGGACCTTTTGGAGAGGGCTCATTCATAGGGTTGCCAATCGCCAGAGGTGACTTGATGGCACATCATCTCCACCACCATGACCAGCAGCTCCATGAACAAACAAAGTGTTATGAGCAGAGGCCACCTTCTGAGACCTCCGGGCAGGACTCAGTTGCAGAAACTATAGGTTCAGGCCCACTTTTACCAGATAGGCCGGCTTCTTCGGCCAGAGACGTCGTCACCGCCAGCGATTCTACAGGGACGTCCAGGGGATCACCTCCTTCCACAAACATCATGTGGTTTCTGGCCGCCCCTTTGAGTCGGATCTCACAAATCACTTCCTAAAAGAGAGTCGAAGGCAGATGCTGGTTTCCTTCGGGTGTCCAGAGGCACTGATGAAGCCGTAACCTAAAGCAACCAGGCAAAGCGTTTCCCCTTCTGGCTACTAGAATTCAACGTATGGGCTTCTATACACAAGGGGTTTCGCTGCTCCCTGCAGGGCTGACGCTAGATGGCGATCTCCTTTCATGTCAAGGAAGATGACAGAGGAGAGAAAACGGCCTCCAGATCTCAACCACTGTGCCGGTCTCCTAGATGGCAGTGTTTATTGGGCCAGCTACAACTGCACGGTTGCAAAGTTTGGAAACTGTGGACCAGAATCCGATGGTCTCCTTGTGATCTCAGCGCTTGGCTGTCTACCAGACTCTTCCTGGGTACTTCTACATGTGCAGATGCACATTTTTGGGACAACGTTCCCCCCCTCCTAGAATTCTGGGAGTCATAGTTCCAACACACCCATTTCCATCCCTCTTCTGGACATTATTCAAAATGCCAGTTACAATCTCTAAATCTCACTACAGACCAGGGTTATTGAAGAGTAAACTCTCCTATACAAAGCATGCTGGCATTCTGAAATCTTTTGGATAAACTTAAGGATAACACCCTTAAAAGAATCATGCGGATTCAAGAGAGATGAACAAGGACTTCTTAGTGGTTGCTCCCCAGCTGTGGAACACCCTTCTATGGGAACCTTCTGTGAATTGTAGTCCAAATAATTAACCTTTTCCACATTGTTCTGGGCTGGGAAATTCTAGCAGATATAATGGAAAGTAGAAGAAAAATCCCTAAAACCCAAATCTTTGATCACGTGGTTCCCGCCAACTTCCAGTTCATAAGGACTAGGAACTTGGATGTTTGAATAGAAATTAGAATTTGGGGCTGTTCTTTTCTGTTCCCCTGTTACATTGATTAAGTGTTGTGGAGGGTCCCCCCCCACTTTTATCCAAATGCTGGAAGTCCAAGCTTAAGGCTGCCCATAAAAGCTGGTGGGTGTGTTGGGGGGGGGTTTCAGACACAGATTTTACAGACATGAAGACAAACAAACAGGAAGTGCCATGTGTATCAAAGAGCCACTATCTCCTTCGGATCTCCAGATGGGAGCTCGGATCCACTCCTACAAGTCCCAGCGTTCACCCTCACCTTGTCAAACAGCAAGACCTGGATGTTATCGGAGTAATACAGGCTCTCGTGATCAGGACTGAAGGTGACAGTAAATTCCTGAAATTTGCCCAAACCGATGACGCCTTCGACGGGGGTGACGGTGAACACGCTCAAGCCGCTGTAGTTCTGAGTACCTGAGCAAAGGAACAGGTGAGCAGCTAAGGGACAAAGCAGCAAACAAACAAACAATACAACACATCTCGGATTATTTTTAATCCCTCCGAAAGCATAGTTGGGAAATCAGAGCTATTTAACCCAGACAGCTTGGCCAGCTTGCAAGTGTTATGGCCGGTTTCTTATTGCAGAAACATGGAGTGGAAAAGGCAGTAAAGGAATGCCCCTCCTCTGCCTTTCAAGTATTCGAAGGGTGCAAAATTCTGGTATTCGATGCGTACTCGTGAGAAGGTCTCGATGGAAAGCCGGCGCTATGAAAGTTCAGTGCCTTATTTATAACAAATGCAGCGAACCTCTGAATTATCAAGACATCTGTAGTCCTATAATAAGTTGCAAATTACAGTGGGTAAAAATATGCCGCTTGGGTTGGGATTTTGAGATTTCTCGGAGTACGAAACCCGTAATTCTCCTTTCTGGGGGTTTTTACTTGTAATTATACAAATAATCGTATAGACACCGAAAAGTGGCTCTCCTTGGAGGAAGGCCTCAACTGGAAGGCTCTGAGGCCAAGCTAAGGCCTAGCTCCCGCTAACTTCCTGTTCAGAAAGAAAGCTCCCAGCAAGCACTGGGGCGGGAACAGGAAGCCTGGGCAGAGCTAGGCCTAGCTCAGCCTCAAAACCTCCCAGGTGAGCTACGCTGATACATCCATAAGCCGTCTGTCTGTGAGGCAGAAAGCGGAGAGTGGAGAATTATGGGATTTATAGTCTAAAAGAAATCCCATCCCAACCTGCAGTTTTTTGGGCTGAGAAATCACACTGTACATTCAGAGAACCACCTACTCGTAACATGCACACTTTTGTCAACACAGGAATAGAACTTGCCATGGTAACTTTTGGGAAACTACAAACCCCACAATCCTCCAGCCAGACAGGGGGTTATGGGTTCTGTAGTACAAAAAACAACTTTCCCCAGGTTTTGCCAAGGAGTGCCATGGGAAAGTTCTCGACACTTCCCTCATCGCCACCAATGCATTAATATCCCATCTGAGCCTTTATTTACCCACTAAATCCGTTGTCCCTCGGGACGAAAGGAAAGGGGGGAGCTTCTGCAGATCTTGGTCTCTGTTTGGAGAGAGAGATTCCAGGACAATGGTGTATTTCAAGGGAAGAGTTGAAGTGTTCTCTATCTGTAAGAGATTCGCCCACAGCAAAATGAAATGTCCATCAACTAGCCGTGTTTAGCCGCCTTGCTCTGCAGCTGCATTTTCTAAAACTCAACGCATCAACAGACTGTGAACTCTTGAGAAGTTAATGATGGACTGCTTAACTTGTCTTTAAGTTGCTTCATATGCATCATCTAATTGTGACCCTCAGGGGGAAAAAAAAAACCTCTATTAAGACAGGGGAGCAGGGACCCCTTTTCTGCACTTGAGACTTGGTGGCAGGGGCAGGATCGACTGGCTCCAAAAATAACATGGAATTAGATAAAAGTTGATTTCTAGTTTTGAAAGATTAAAAAATAATAAAGATAATAATAAAGATTATAACTTTATAGAAGATATGGGGGGATTTGGAAGGGGGGGATCCAGGAGGGGCCACTTTGGGGCTGCACATGGCCTACAGACTGGTGCAATTCCTACCCCTGTGAACGATAAAGTCAGTGTTTTTATTCCATATATTACAACGGGAAAGGGCTAGAATCTGAGCTATTTAAGATCAGGTCCCTTGTGAGTCCCTGGGGGAGGCAAGGTTTCGAACAGCAAATTTCTCATCCATAGCTTTATTTCTTAGAAATGAATAAGAGTGATTTCTTCCCTTGTGGCAAAGGTGGCGAACGACTCCAGCTTCAGAAGTGCTGGGAATCCACGTCGGGTTTTACTGTGCACTTTAATGGAGCTAAGATGCTGAACCACATATCCAGAATAAATCCAGGACTTTGAATAACTGTAAAGGGCAGAGTAAAGCCCGGAGAGGATTCACAGCACTTCAGGAATTGGAGTGTAGCTCCTCCTGGAAATGCGAATTGTTGGCAAACGTTAGAAACATGACCCTCACCCTTCTTCATACCATACTTCCGACTTACCTTGAAGGTTGCCGTGGCTGTTTCTTTGGCGATGACATATCCCATGTTGAACACATCGCCTTCCACCGAGCAAGCAATAGAGGTGATCACACCCCGGCCAGTCAAGGTAAGGGTTAGGGTGGCCTTCTCGCTACGGAGTTCCAGTGTTTCGAAGAACTATGGAGAAGAGTTCCGTGGTCAGTCAATAATCATGGAAAGAAATGGACGAACATAATCCCAGGTTGTGTGAGTACTGGATGTGGCTCAATCAAGATGGAGGTGGGGGGGAGGCTTGAACCCAGAATCTCCAAGTTAGGAGAGCCAAACAAGCAGTCATACCAGACAAGGGGAAGAAATTTAGCTGAGTGATAGAGCGCACACTTGAACACTATGGTAGAGTGCACACTGTGATACCCAAGCAAAAGATGAGGCAACAGGAAAAAATCTCAGCTCAAGATTATGGAAAGATTCTGCCAGGCAGAAAAGACAAAACTTGTTAGATGGACAAGAGCTGCTGGATAGCTCAGTGGTTTAGGTCTCTGGAGCTGGAGGTTGGGAGTTCGATTCCCCCACTGGCCCTCCTTGACAGGGGGTGGACTGATGATCCATAGAGTTCCTATCCAAGTTCTTTAAGTGCTGTGCCAAGACAGAGCAGATGAAGGTGGGCTTGGACGGCCAAACAATCTGACCCAACACGAGATCGGCTCCCATTTCTGGTTCGCAGAGACTCTAACATCCACCTCCTCCCTCTTGGCTTCCCTGTTGTTTCAGAGCTTCCCTGCAATCCTCACAGTAGCAGAGAGAAAAGTATATTGTTGTGATGCAAGCATCTGAATGTGGTTTGGGCTTGAATGGGCAATTAAGAGCCATTAACTTGACAAAAGACCCGCTCCCCGCTTGTTTATATGTTCCATTTCATTGGCCTGAGCTCTTTCGATTCTCTTCCAGGGGGTGCTGTCTCTGGGGGCTGTCACGATGAGGGCCAACCCTTCGAACATTCACCACCACCCCTGCCTTGTTGCCTTCGACTCACCGACTTGTTTTCCTCCGGGCAGAACGAGAGGACGAGGGCGCGGGACTCCCCTTCCCCGAGCGTGAGGATGGGGTTTGCCAAGAGGAAAGGGCCAAAGGGGTTCAGGAGGGAATATTCCAGCTGAAGGTGCCAGTTTAAGAAAACGCAAGTTGAGTGGTAACCAAAGCAACCATTCCGCCGCCCCCGCCCCCGAAAAAAAGAAAGAAAAAGATGTTACCTAGAGACAATTAGAGAAATGCATAAGGGTTATCAGTCATAGAGGCTCCATCTCAAGCATTACAGCCCATAATCTGATCATCATCATCTCCTTCAGCTTCTGTTGTATTGTAGCTGATCTGAGACGGGGCGGGGACGAATTTGTTTCACCTTCATTTTTCTAAACCCAGATTTTCAAAAACTTAAGCGTGAAATGTAAGTATTCGAAACTGGGCGAGCGCGGGTGGGGAGAGGCGTAGGCTTGATTGGCTCAAGGACCCACTTGCATCTAGAATGCACTTAATTAAACAGGTGTGTCTTCATAAACAATGCCGGATTTCAAGAGGAAAATCAGAGCAGGACTTATTCAGTCAAAGGATACAGACAGTAGTTCTTGGGATATGTTCTGTATTGTGACTTCCTTCTTAATCCTGTGTCCTGGTGGATGACAGAATGCTGTGTTTGTCGAAGAACCAGGCATATCAACAATTTCAGAATGGCTAGAACTTAAGGTTCTACAGTCACCCACGACCCCCTAAGTCAAGCCAGAGACCTCATACTGGTTTCCAATTAAAAAAACATCAACTATGTCGGTATATTCGGCTGTGCCACTTAGCCACAATGCTGTCCCACGCTCATTTAGCAATTTCCTAGTTCATATAAAGTGTCTTCCCTGCCCGAGTTAGACTCAAAACGCTGCTCCTAATGCTTAGTGAGAGGCAGTGGCTAATAAAATAAAGCGAGGTGTTTTCCTTTGGAACTGCCCGACACTTGAATGCAGCCCTTGAGAACAACTCTGGAACTGAGCTTGGCCTTTTGGCCTGAAAGAACATCCACCCCAATGCTCCTGGTGCCCCTCATTCAAATCCTGCCTCCTTCCCACAAGTTCCATGTTTTAAGCTGCACCCTCGCAGTTGGATCAGAGGCCGGTTGGTTTGTTCCGTCGGCCCGCAGTTCCCAGCACCTTCTGGGCAGCTCTAAAGCCTGCGAGAGAAGACAGAGGGATGCGCAGAGGTTCTCAGGTGCGTCGTACCTACGGCAACGTCCCCAAAGTTGAAGAACGTCCGGCCATTATTGGACGTCACGACCACAACTGGAGCTCTGGAAGGACAGTGCAGTTCCAGGTACAAGGTATTATAAGGGCTGGAGACAGAAATGAATGAAAAACGGTTACGTGGGGTGTGTCCTTACGCTGGAAAAAGCTGCTGCCTATTTCAGCATCATCATCATCATCTGTCGTCAAGTCAATTCTGACTCATGGTGACCCTTTCCCAGGGTTTTCCAGGTAGAGAATGCTCAGAAGTGCATTACCCTTCCCTTCCTCTAGGGGCCGCCCTGGGGACAGGCGTCCTTACGCTGCAAAAAGCTGCTGCTTATTTCAGTATCATCATCATCTGTTGTCAAGTCAATTCTGACTCATGCTGACCCTTTCCCAGGGTTTTCCAGGTAGAGAATGCTCAGAAGTGCATTACCCTTCCGTTCCTCTAGAGGCCGCCCTGGGACGGTGCAGCTTGCCCAAGGCCACCCAGGCTGGCTCTTCTCCCAGGAGGCCCAGTGGGGGAATCGAACTCTTTCTGGCTCTGCAGCCAGACAGTAAACCTCTGAGCTATCCAACCAGCCTTCTCGTAGATACCTGAGAAGAAAACGTTTCTGAGATTGTGCCGCTTGCCCAAGGCCACCCAGGCTGGCTCTTCTCCCAGGAGGCCCAGTGGGGGAATCGAACTCCCACCCTCTGGCTCCCGAGACTTAAACCACCAAGCTCTCTAGCCATTCCGACACATGGGCTGAAAAATGTATGCAGCAGACACACACACATACACCCCGCAATGGGCCATGAAGACATTTGAAAAGAAAAATATGAAAGTCTGGACTGGAATTAGCTGGAAGCATGATGGGCAGGGAGGGTGGAAATAAGAAGGGGACCAGGAACGACACACAATTTACAAATTGGAGTGGAGAAAGAGGAGAGGACCGTTTTCCGAGAGCAGCTAAGATGGCGTTAGGGAGAAGATGGTGCTTGAGCGCGACAGAGCCTTGTGTTCCTCTTAATCATTTTCCTTAATCATGTGCTGAATCAGTTCTAAATGATGGCCACCCTTTTCAGGTTTTTCCAGGTAGGAGAGGTTGATAATTTCCCTTCTTCTGGGTGTGCCCTGGGACCATGAAGCTCGCCCAAGGCTAGACAGGCTGGATCTCCAGCCACTGAGCTACCCAGCCAGCTTCAGCAGAAGGAAAAGGCAGCAACCCAAGGAACTTCTATCCTGTTCAATCACACCACGCAATGCTGAACCGGGCTGCCCTAAGATGTCGGGGAAGACGTTTACGATCCCACACCCGTTGTGTGATTTGTCGCTATCCTGTTCAATCACACCACGCGGCATAACTCTGTCGCAGCACACATTTCAATGCTGAACCGGACTTCCCTAAGATGTCGGGGAAGGCATTTACGATCCCACACCCGTTGTGTGATTTGGCGTGCAAGCTCAACATCCCGCAGTGCCTTCTGGCGATGGTTTCCCACTGAAATGTATGCAGTTGGCACGACATCGCTATAAATCTAGTCTCAGAATTCTGACCACTTTAACTCCGGGGAACCTAAAACGCCCCATTCTGGGCCATGGCCGTGAATTGTTGCACAAGCTCACAAGTAGGTGCTTCAAGAATAAATTATTGCATTATAAATTATAGATCATCTTCAGCAATCTCGCAGAGTAAGAGAGTGCGATTTCCCCATCTAATTATTTATGTGAGCTGAGACGGAGCAAGGAAACCTGGGCTAAAGCCCCCAAATTAGCGCATGGGAGAGAGAACATTTAAAGCCGAAGCTGCCTGTCCCGTCGTTTTAATCGCTGTACAACATTAGCTAATTACCATGTATAAACAAGCCGATTATTGTACACGTCCAGCGCGCTTCGCTCTTTTCCCCTCCTGGGAGGTTAAGGCTCTCGTTCGGCTGTTCTGTGCAGAGCGGGAAATTATACACCCAGGGTTCAAGTTTGACGAAACGCGCTCGAAAAGTCAGAGGCGTCCACCCTCTAATTATGCCACGATGCAAAGCAGCCGGTGTCTAGTGCCACAGACGAGCTGCTAATTTTAGTGGCGACATGTGTCGCCAAAGCAACGCACGACACACGACGCGGCCGCCCACCTGCTGCGCATAGCAACGGCGCTAAGCCCCCGGAACGCGCAGCGAAAAGTCACTGAGTCAGTTCTCCCCACCCCGCTCGGCCCCACGTGGCACACCTGAAGTGCAGGTTTTCGGCACCTCGCTTCTCGTCGATCTGGCCACTGGCGACAAGACACGGGATGACGTAGCGGTCGAATCGGGCGCTGAAGCTCCGCACCAAGGACAGGTGAGCCGCGATATACTCTTCGGAGCTGGAGCGAGGGGCAAAGAGAAGACGGGTCACCGGAAGGGACGCCTGCCTCGGACGTCCAGGGCCAAAAACAGGGGGGAAAGCCGCTTTGGTGAACAAAGAAATTTTGGGAGTTGGAGAAGTAGTCTTTTTTTAAAAAAGACATTTCCCAGCTGGTCCAGCACAGTGGGTGTTGAGATACAGAATTAATGAGTGGTGCAATTAATAATAATTATGTGTTCTCAAGTCCATTTTGACTGACAGTGACCCTTTCTGGAGTTTTGTAGGTAGAGAGTACTCAGAAGGTGGTCTCCCATTCCTTTCCTCTGGGACGGTGCAGCTGGCCCAAGGCTACCCAGGCTGCCTCTTCTCCTGGGATGCATCAGTGGGGAATGGAATTCCCAACCTCCATCGCTACAGACAGAAATCTACATCACTAAGCTATTAGGAGAAGACCGTTCACCCAGTATGGAGCAAGGGATACATTAATGGGCCGGGACTCAGGGAACTTGGGTTCAAATTGCAGCTCAGTCATGGAAACTCACTCGGGGAGGAGAATGGGTAAAATCAGGCCTTAAATATCACACCGTGAAAGCCTGATCAGGGCCACGGTAAGCCAGTTCCGACTTGAAGGCACATAACCACAAGTTGGTCATTCCTATCCAAGAGGGCTACGTGGAACCCCCAGGTGGAGAGCTAGTCGACGTTACTTAACTGGGGTGGGGTGGGGCAAAGATGGTTCTTCAAACCATCCAGCTGGCCACCTTTTGAAAGCTAGATGTGGACTTAGATTGACGACTCAAAGGTAACAGTGGGTGATTTTAGGTGAATGGTGGTCTCTCCAAGAGAGGTAAAAAGAGAGAGGTCTGGAACTCTCCAAGGTGCTGAAAACGTCTTCCATTACAGGTTAAGGACCTTGGTGACGTCCTCCTTCAAAGTTCAACACACACACCCAAGCAGGTTCTCCACCCAAGAGCAAAGCCACCGCCCTCCACAGCTTGGCATGCTGACTGAGGATGATGGGTGATGGAGTTCAACCCCAGCTAGAAGACTGCAGAGCCCTCAAAACCCCACCCTGGGGCTTCGACACATCAAGAAATACCATCTCCCTGATACTGCCCCCCCCTTCCTCCCAAACTCACTTTGGGCAGATGTCCTCTGGGCAAGGCACCTCAAACGGCTTGGAGGCGTGCTTATCCTTGGAGGGTTGAGCGAGGAAAGAGATGCTGGCCATCTTCTTCCCATCCTTACGTCCCACCATGGCCTCCTCTTTCTTCTTCTGCCATGAAAAGGGCAGGGATTAAAATCTTCTATCCAGGAAAAGTTTATTAGCAGAAATGGGATTTTTTGGCATGGGGAGGGGGCTCAATGCCCAGTGACCTAGCCCGCATGCAATAACCCCCCCAAACTTGTTTGAAAAGTTCCTTTTTCAAACTACTGTAAAAGCTTGCAACCAAGGTCTGATAATTTGATAATTTGATAACGAATGTTCTTAGCAATATACAGGGTTGCACTAAAATTTCTTGCACTACTTATTACACATTTTTCCATTCTGGGAACTCCATTTTGTGAGAAAGGCATCAGACAGATACTATACCTAAATGTGCTTCACCGGGGGGGGGGAGGCCTGAACGGGAAGGCTTAAAAGTTTAACTAGGCTTAGCTCCCCCCAAGCTCGGCCTGTTCCTGCCCCAGTGCTAGCTGGGAGCTTTCTTTCTGAACAGGAAGCTTGGGTGGAGCTAGGCCTAGCTAGGTCTCAAAAGGTTAAGGCCTTTCTCCAAGGTGAGCCACACTGAGGTGTCCGTAAGGTGTTTAGCTCTCTGGTAGGACTCCTGGAATGGAGAATTATGGGATCCGTAGACGAAGAAATCCCCAAACGCCATCCCTAGCAATAAGCAACATGTGAGGAAGGCACCAATCCTGTGAGTCACCTGCAGTTCCAATTCCCGGGCCTTCTTTTCCATCTGGGCCTTGGCTTCGGCCTCCTGGCACATCAGGTGAACGGCCTCCTGCCGGATCAGCTGGTCGCACAACACAGGGTGGAAGGACACTTCCAGGACGCACTTCTGCATTGGAGGCGGCCAGTGAGTGAGAAGGAAAAAAAATAAGAGCTTTACATTGAAATAGTCTCCTCTCTGTTTTTGGTTACACAGTGCATTTTTGTTACAGTCCCCTGGTATCTGACCCACCTCCCAAAAGAGAAGGGACGAGTCCCTCGAGGTGATGGGCACCCCCCATCCGTCTTTAAACAAAGATGAAAATGGGACCTAGGATGTGAGGATGTGGTATTTTTCTTTCTGTTACAGGAGAATTCTATTTTAATTAAAAAAAAAAACAGTCTGGGCTGCGCCTTCCCTAGGAAATGCTAAACAAGCAAACAGGAAATGGCCTGAGGGACACTTCCTGTTTTGCCCCGCGCCCTGGGGCGGGTTGAGCCAAGTCAGGTGCAGATCTGAGATTTGTTTCAATGGTCGCTCCTGAAGGTCTCCTCGAGTGAAAAAAAAAATCCCAAATTTGGCCCAAAGATGCCCCAGGATGGGATGGCACTGAAGGTCCTTTTTTTAAAGGTCACAGTGGTCATTTTTTCCATCCAGAGGACTTGGAGAAAAGGTTACCTTCCCCGGCAGAACGGTTCCGACGCACGGCATGATGGTGATAGGAGAGTCCTCGGGCACCAGGAACTGGAAGGAAGTGGGCCCAACGGGGGCCACCTCCCCGTCCCCGATCCGCGGGACAAAATCGTCAAACCGGCTGTAGCCCACGTGGGAGTTGACGATGTGGATCCTCGTGGCCGACGTGTCGTTGAGAGCGGTGGGGGGAAACTGAATCAAGGCATGAGTCAGCTCCAAAGGAGGGTGCACCCCGACAGCTTTACATGACACCTTGAATTGCCTAGAGATGGAGAGAGACATACGGTCGCAGCACCAAACACGTCCTCCGGCCAAGAATAAAAATAAATAAAACCCGGGAGGAGCTTGGCATTCCACCAAGACGCATCTCTCCCAAACGACAGGATCTTCCTGCCGTCCCTTCCTCAGCAGGTTGACAATGTTGGCTAGGATTAGAAAGACATTTGAGTCTTGTAGGATGACGGATGGGGTGCAAACGTCTGTTTAGAAAGCAAAGAGGGCATCCTTTCCTGCGGCTTTGGGTCTTTAGACAGCAGCTGTTCAACCAGGAAATCCATTCTCCTCCAGACCAACCCCAGGATCTATATACAGTGGTGCCTCGCTAGACGATGATAATCCGTTCCACTGAAATCGCTGTTTAGCGAAATCATCGTCTAGCAAAAAAAACACATTTCCCGATTGGAATGCATTGAAGCCTGTTTAATGCGTTCCAATGGGGAAGAATCATCGTTGTCTAGCGAAGATCAGCCATAGGAAAGAAGCTTTGCGAACCGCCAATCAGCTGTTTAAATAGCTGTCTTGTGAAGCTTAGATCCCGAAAACACCCGTTTTGCGAGCGCAGAGGGAGCTGTCAAAATCGTTGTCTAGCGAAAATTGGTTTGTGAAGCAGCGAACAAACATTATCCAGGGAAATTCCCCCATAGGAATCACTGTTTTGCAAATCGCTATAGCGATCGCAAAAATCTAATGTCTAGCGAAAAAACTGTCATGCGGGGTAACTGTCTAATGAGGCACCACTGTACACTCAGAGTGAAACCGCATCAAATGGAGGATTCCCGATCCGTGCTGTGAATAGGGAGAGAGGTTTTCCTGGGAGGAATAATGGTAAATATAGAGAGTTTCGCCCACTGTCCCCCAGCGGCCTTCTGCCTTGTCTAAATTCTGCACAAAACATATCCCAACACTGGATTATTCTGCTCAGGTAGGGGGGAAATGGCTGCTGTGCATGGAGAGGAAATAGGAGGCGAGAATCACTCATCATCATCCTCCTTGCCCACGCCGCTGCTCCCCCCCTCCCACCTCTGTAACTGCTGCCCTTTTCAATAGTTCTAGGGATTCCCTCCATCTGAAACAGATCAGGGACCTTGGAAGCAAATCTGATCTTTTATTTTTTATTTTTTGCCTCATCCTCACAACCCCGAAAAGCTGGACTCAGGGGGCCCGACCTGTTGATCTCGGTCTTGCACGTCAGCTCAAAACAGTATTGCTTCGCTTTATGGGCTTTGAAGATGACATCCAGGCTCAAGCTTTCAAGGGGCAGGAGAACGCCGAACCCATCGTTGGGCTGAATTTCTACAAACTTTCCAAAGGAGAACAAACGTGTTACAGATAACGTATGTGAACAGCAAAGGAACATTACACTGGAAGTCAAATGGAGAACAAGTAACTGAAATGACAGACCTAGAGGTTATACTGACATCATCAAAATGCCCAGCCTTCACGGGTATTAAAAAGTATGCTTGAAAGTATAGGAGCAGTACCTTAATAACTGCAATCGGCTGCCATCAAGTCAATTCTGACTCATGGCAAACCTATTCAGGGTTTCCCAGGTAGAGAAAACCTCAGAAATGGTTTCTCCTTCCTTTCTTCTGGGGAGGGATCCCTGGGACGGTGCAGCTGGCCCAAGGCTACCCGGGCTGGCTCTACTCCCTGGAGGCCCAGTGGGGGAATCAAACTCCCAACCTCTAGCTCTGCAGCCAGAGACTTCAACCCCTGAGCAACCTCAAAGTTCCTTACAATCCCCCCCCACCGATGTATAAAAACAGAATAAAGAAAGAGTAAACCTTTTGTGCGATAGTATGGAAGAGGACAGAAAAAAAGTCTACACCTTCTGATAAATTTCTCGGTGGCTGCAGAATTCAGTATTTGGATGGATCAAGCCGAAGACTGGCTTGAGTAAAATAAGAAATGGAGTTAAGAAGAAACTGGGCACCATTTGCCCCCTTGCAAGGTAAACTCTTAAGGAATACTTGCTGTGCTAGAAAACGAGACTGCGGTGTTTACCTCCTGGACCCGTACAAAGCCAAAACCCTGGGGAAGGATGGATTTGTTCGTCAGCGTGATTGTTGACCGGACGGCTTCGTAGATCGAACAGTATCCAAAATCCAGCTCTGTGGGGCTTATCTCCAAGTCAGAGGTAGTGACCACGGCATGGACAGTAAATTCGACGGGCTTGCTCTGAAAAAAGGAACACGTCCCCTAATGGTTAGAGCACTGGAGCAGGATGGAGAAGATGCTGGCCGAGATCCCGACTGTTCTAGGAAGCACATGGCATAAACTTGAGACGGTTATGGTCCTCTAAGCCTGCATTTCTGGGGTGTCATGAGATCAAATGGGAGACCCTGGAGTTTGTTGCTTTGAGTTCCTTCAAAGACGTAAGGGGGATACAAGGGCAGAATGTGAAAAGGTTATTTTGGGGACTCCTCGAATCGTCAGCAGAGTGGTCACGTTGGCTGGGAGAGACCTGGAACTGTAGCCCAAGTAAATAACTTTTCTGCGCTCAATGAACGAGCAAGGAAGAAACATCAAGGTGAATGAATGTCCCGTGTTTCCTGTGTAAAAACCACCGTTTGCTTCAAAACCAAAGTTAAGAGTTGACAGGAAAACTACTTTTCCTAGGAGAAATCAGAAAGGGCAACGAAGCCATAATCGAGAGAGAGAGGCAGGGGATTTCAAGCCATGTCTGGAATCGCAACCTGGAACTTCTCGGCCCCTGGAGAAGGCTGTTTAGTCTGGCCTGTAAGCTACTACGATGGCTTCCAGGTTGGGAGAACCAATCAGGTTCGGAGCCCTCACACAGACCAACAGGAATGTGGAACCGCTTGGGATCTACAAACCCATCGTCCTGATGACTCAGGGCATAGGGCAGTAGGGCTAGAGAGATGGGCCTTCCCTGTTCAAGCTCTGACCGCTCCTGAAAGAAAACGCCCTGCACCATCATCACTTAAAATCACTTGAGCTCACACGGAGGGGCAACCAATCCCTTTGGCAATGTCGTCGCCTCAGTCCAAAGCAGGGGCAGGAAAGCTCTGGCCCTTCAACCTGTGAGGAGCTAATGTTTCTTTTTCTGGTAAATCTGCTCCGGATCTTACCCTGCACTCCCCAGGAGCTATCCATGGTGCCTGCTGAACCACTTGGAGGAGAAGGAGCCAGCACCGGGGAGAGCTCCTTTTAAAAAAAAAACAGAAGCGGATTCAAAGCACATCCCAAACTGGTGTCATCAGCCTCCACATCCTTTGGACTACAACTCCCAGGAGCCCTGGCTAGTAAGGCCAAGGATAATGGAAATCGTAGTCCGAAACATCAGGAGAGTTTAAGCATTCCTACAGCTGAGTGGTTTGCAACCTCGGTTCCCTAGATGTTCTTAGGCAAAAACTCCCAGAAGCCTTCACTACTAGCTGGGCTAGCCAGGATTTCTGGGAGTTGTAGTCCAAGAACATCTTGGGATCCAACGTTGGGTCAAACAGGGCTCCAGGGGGCCAAACAGTCAGCAGTCCTTATCCTTAGGAGCTCTCCGGGGTCCTGAACAACCAAATAAGGGTCGACCTCCCTTGATCAACTTCCTACTGCTCTCCCTCTGCTTGATGATGATGATAATGATGATGATGATGATGATGATGATGATGATGATGATGATGATCATCATCATCATCATCATCATCATCATCATCATCATCATCATAATAATAATAATAATAATAATAATGCCTTCACTGACCTGGTCTGAAACAATAATTGTCATGGGCACTTGTAACACTCTGGTTTTTTCATCAAAGTATTTTCCAGCATCTTCCCGAAGGGAGTGCCTGAAAGTAGAAGGCATCACACACCTGTTAAAAAACCCAAAGTGCTTGGGGTTGAAGAAACAGGAGGATCGTAACACACTCAAGCTTTTTACTGCTGGGAGAGCCACCGAGAATCCTTGCCTAAGCATGGAAGAGTATGAACCAAATTGAATAAAACGGAAAGAGGATTGGGGCAGAACAAGAGACTAACACACGTTCCCCAAAAAGTTATTATGGATTTTGGAGTGTCTTGTACCCTCTTTCTTTCAATTTCTGGAACCCCTGCGTGATTATCCTTACTGTGTGTTTTTTCACAACACAAGTGTCTGAATTTTTATCCGAGTCACGCCATCCAGAAGCACATGCATTTTCTCTTTGATCTTGGCAACGCATGGTCCAAACAGAATTCGCCCAACATGTCGTGTCAAGCACTTAAAACTCATGAACTAGTTCAGTATCCTGGCTCACGTAGCGCTATGGCACTTCTGTTCTCAAGGATCAATTCTGCACGAGAGCTACAAAACAGAAAATTAAAGGCTCTCGGCCGCTTTTTTCCCCCCTTGCCTGTAATTCCCATTAATGCTCCTGTAAGTGTTTTCGGCTGGCATTAATAAAGGGAGCTGATTACGGGGGCCGTGTTGTATTTACCAGCGTTTTTAAGACAGTATTAACCGAGATAACGGCTCTTTTGCCAGCCAAATATTGACGGCTATAAATAGACCTCTGGAGAAAACTTGCTTGGTAATCAGTATGTAAGCTTCCTCGGCCCCAGCTGTAGTTAGAAGCACAGATGAGACACCCATTTTCAGCAATCTGTTCCTTTTGACATTGACATTAATTAATTACCAGCTTCTCTGAGTCAGTATCAATGGGATGGCAATGCTGCCACACAGATACAGAAATAAGATCAGATGGTGAGAAGTGTCTTCAAAACCAGCCCCATCTGTCTCATTCAAGGGAGAGAAGATGTATAGATGCGAGTTGCCAGAACCTCTCGTTAGCACAAGGCCAGCGTGGAAGAGCGTTGCCTAAATTAGTACGAACGGGGGTATCATTTTCAGAGCGGCCGTCCTATTTTTAAACCCTGGGTCCTAAAAACGAGAGGTAATTTTCTCATCAGGGAGATGATGTTCAATCTGGGAAAGTTGTAACAGGCTTTGAGCGAATGGGACCCTAGGCTGGACGGAACCAGTTACAAATGACAACAGTTCGGGGTAACAAATTACTTTCGGAGGTAATGTGAGTTCTGCAAAGTTACATTTCAAAAGCAATGGAACAAAATGGAATGACAGCACTGTGCAACATTTCCTAATTACTTTTGAAAGTGGAAGGCATGTTGATGCCCATTTTTCAGGTTTTCTGCCCTTTGCTTCTCCATTCCAAAGGATTAAAAAAAATACGTAGTAGAAAGAAACAAAAAAAGGAACAATCGACATAAGAAGTCATGTAATGAGTTATCTCAACTTAGTTTTCATTGTTTTCATATTCATCTTGTCTTCTCCTAGTTTTATGTTGATTGATTTGTTTCGTTTGATCAGATTTGGAACCTATCTTTCATACTCCTAGCTGGTCATCCTGCTCCTATCTTCTAACCCCGCTTTTCAACTCATCTCCGTTGGGTGAGATATTCCGGGGCTTATTTCACAACCCACAACCCTCCTAATCTCATCAAATCTCCTTTTGAAGCTTTCTCCCACTGTTTTTTTCCCCCTGTCCTCCTTGTTTTTAAAATATGCAGATTAACATATTTAATCCAAGCTGCGGATTTTTACATTCCACTCTGACAAAATAAAACTGCTGCTGTGTTTCACAACATTGGAAGTTTCGGCACCGGGGACTGTCACAATAATGGGAATGCCAGCCATTTGCTGTGTAAGGAGACACACAGCATTTGTGTTATCCTCAAAGCACGGCTGCCAGAGAGCTCTGGAAATTTATTCTGGTCAGGATCCAGTGAACATATATGAGAGACAAGCAGATAAAGTTGCCTTTATCTTTATCTGTGTTGTCCAGTGTTTTTCTCTTCAGACTGTCATCAGATCTCTAAAGGTTGAAAGAATGAATCCTGCCCAGAACGGGGTCTTTCCTCTTACTCATTTGTTAGGAGTGAGGGCTAGAGATGAGATTTTTGGATTTTTGGGACTCTACACCCCATAATTCTCCATTCTAGGAGTTCTGCCTGACTTACACATACTTTACAGCCACCTAAAGTGGCTCACCTTGGAGAAAGGCCTTAACTGGAAGGCTTTGAGGCCTAGCTGGGCCTAACTCTGCCCAAGCTTCCTGCTCAGAAAGTTCCCAGCTAGCACTGGGGTGGGAACAGGAAGTTAGGCCCTTCATCAAAACCTTTCACCAGATGAGGTTAGGCCCAGCTCAGCCTCAAACCCTTCATCAAAACCTTTCACCAGATGAGGAAGATGGGTTGAATTCCCAAAAAGGAGAATGATGGTCTCTGTAGTCCAGAAAAATAAAAATAGTAACCAAAATGGGGACAGGAAACTAAATCCTTTTTTTCGCCACAAGGAAGTGAGGTATTTGTCTGGTACTCTTGCTAGAGGGAAGAGCACAAGAACCAATTTTGTGCATGACCAAATAAATAAATAAATAAATTTTAAAAAAAAACAACAAGGTAGAAAAACAGAGCCGCCCCAAAAGCCACCTTGGCAGGAATTTCAGCTGCACGCTGAAGGACGACTGGGCTTGGATGTAGCCTGTCTTTGGAAGCAGCTCCATGTGGTTGGCCAGTTCTTTGCAAACTTCAAACCTCAAGCGCAGGGCGCTGGTCGCTCTGCAAGAAGCAAATTAAAGAGAGATCTGAGCGGTTATCCGATGGCCAGGCTGGCAACTGGGATGGTATATTGCATCTCAGATGGAACACTGACTACCTTTTCTCCTTCATTGTGTGCTGTCAAATCAATTCTGACTGACGGCAACTCTTTCCAGGGTTGTCCAGGCAGAGAGCACTCAAAAGGGGTTGACCTTTCCTTTCTTCTGGGGAGGGATCTCTGGGACGGTGCAGCTGGCCCAAGGCCACCCAGGCTGGCTCCTCCCAGATGCCCAGAGGGGGAATCGAACTCCCAACATTTAACTCTGCAGCTAGAGACCTAAAACCACCGAGCTATCCAGCCAGTACATACCTTTTTCTTCTTGCCCAGCCTGGCCCGGCCCCATTTTGCTGATGGGATACAAAGTCAGGGACAATCTTGTTGGCTTCAGGGCCCAGGGGTGGGGGGAAGAAATCTCAGAACCTGGAGGCACGCCTGGCTCTCCCAGGATACACCCCCCCAAGAAAAAACCTTCCCTTCTTAATGGATTTGCTTGATCATTTCCCAGAAGTTGTTAGGTGCTCTATAGCTGCCCTCTGTGCCTCTGCCGTGCAGAACCGCCAGATGTTCATATGACCTCATCCTGGTTTTTCTCTCTCTCTCACCCACTCACACCTGCACCCCTTCAGCCGGAGAGATGCCTCCTCCTCCTCCTCCTCCTTCTCCTCCATTTTTTTTCTCTCTCACCCACTCACACCTGCCCCCCTTCAGCTGGAGAGATGCCTCCTCCTCCTCCTTCTCCTCCAAGCTCCACTTCCTTCCACTGATTAAACACCCATTGACGACCTGGGATTCATAAGCACAATTTCCCTAAAGAAGGGAACAGCTCATCAGAATTGTGACCCTCTCGTTGTGAGGTTGATAACGCTTTGCTCCCCCAACCACGTGAACCGTTCACTTCTATTTGCTTGATGATCTCATGGCATTGGATCGGTTGATTCGTTCGGCATCTCTGGAGGAGAAGCTTTACAGATGTCCTGGACAGCTGCAAGAACCCACCAAGGAGTGGGTTCTAGATCAAATTGAGACTAGACCCTGGCTACAAGCTCAAATGAATAATAGTACTTGGGACGCATCATGAGAAGATAAGACTTGCAAGAAAACATAACAATATGTTGTTGGGCATTGGATCGGTTGATTCGTTCGGCATCTCTGGAGGAGAAGCTTTACAGATGTCCTGGACAGCTGCAAGAACCCACCAAGGAGTGGGTTCTAGATCAAATTGAGACTAGACCCTGGCTACAAGCTCAAATGAATAATAGTACTTGGGACGCATCATGAGAAGATAAGACTTGCAAGAAAACATAACAATATGTTGTTGTTATGTGCCAATCAAGGCTATAGTACTTGGGACACATCATGAGAAGATAAGATTTGCAAGAAAACATAACAATATGTTGTTGTTATGTGCCATTAAGTGGCCTCCAGCTTATGCTGATGCCATGAATGAAGGATCTCCAAAACGTCCTCAACCGCCCTGCTATATTCCATCCTGTGGCTTCCTTTAGGGAGGCAGTCCATCTCACATTTGACCTTCCTCTTTTCCTTCTACCTTCCACTTTTCCCAGCATTAGTGTCTTTTCCAGAGAATCCTGTCTCCTCATGAAGTGCCCAAAAGTAGGACAACCTCAGTTTCAGCATTTTTTTGGCCTCCAGAGATCTCTCAAGCTTGATTTGATCTAGAACCCACTTGATCTTCTTTTCCAGACATACTAGGGTACGTCTGCAAATCTCTCCTCCAGCACCACATTTCCAGTGAATGAAAGGCAGTAGGAAAAGAAGACAATCCAATGTGAGATGGAGTAGCTCGATAAAGGAAGCCATGGCCGTGAGCTGGCAATAACTGAGCCGGGGTTCTTAGTGACAGGGCCTTCTGAAAGTCACTAATTTATAGGATTGCTATAAATAGGAACAGAAGTACGTCTGCGAATCTCTCCTCCAGCACCACATTTCCAGTGAATGAAAGGCAGTAGGAAAAGAAGACAATCCAATGTGAGATGGAGTAGCTCGATAAAGGAAGCCATGGCCGTGAGCTGGCAATAACTGAGCCGGGGTTCTTAGTGACAGGGCCTTCTGAAAGTCACTAATTTATAGGATTGCTATAAATAGGAACAGATATGATGACTCACAGCACTTGTCGTAATTGTGTAATTTAATTGTGAGCCGCCTTGATCCGTGAGAAAAAAAAGTGGAGTGTGAAATGGATATATAAATACATTCCTCTAAGGCTGAATTAGCATTTCTGCTATACCGTGAAGTGTGCTTCGGAAGGACCACAGCCAGTTAAGACAGGAAAAGGGATCCAAGGTTTCATTTAGAGGTCGGCAAGAGAGGTTCCATCCTGCACAGCATGCTTAATGCAGTCAGCAGTATATATGAAGAAGTTAAAAAAAAAAAAAAACAGAACAGAAAAGGATTGCTTCTATCTTGCACACAGCGGCTCGACAGCTTTCTTATAAGTACCTCTCACCCTCACCTCGGAAGGATGAATCAAATTTGATTTAATAGAAAAAGTTACTCTGGTTTTGAAATCCCGTCTCTGGGAGTGGGGTTTGTCTGAGACCCAGGAAAAATCGCTTACATAACTTGACACGTGTCACATTTGTAAGCTGAATGTGTGCGATAACAGCTTTATCCTTTCCCTCCCACTGGGAGAAAAATCTCCGTGGTGTCTAATTCTAGCGAGGGGTTTAGAAGGCATGCTTCCGGCGCGCCCCCTGCTGCTGCCCCCACTCTGCAACAGAAATAATAGGGGAGAAAAGTAAAATAAAAATAAAAAACCAATCCTGTTTGCATGGACAACACACAACGGGAAAGAAAAGGAAGTTAAAAATAGCGAGACTCAACGGAGCAGAACCGGTGGACGGAACGAAAGGTGGGAGCCGGCGATCGCTGGTCAGAGATTCCGAAGAGGAAGGTGGAATATGAACGGAATTAATTAATTAATACCTCAAGAGCGGCATTAACCTGGCTGCTGGACCCTAAGACCATGGTTCTAGAAATTACAAACCCAGGAATTGAGAAAGGTATCTGAGAAGATTATCTCACAATTAGAAAGATCTGAGTGAAGGGTACTAGCCTATGCATTATGGTTTATGTTCTGTCATCGTCTCCTCCACAACCAGAGCGGAGCACAAGGTTATCTCCCAGGGACCAATCAGAAAACAAAGCAAACAGACAGCAAGCTAAGGGGGGTGAGAAAAGCTCAATGCCCATCAGACTCCTTTGAGCCCTTATTACCTTGTTCCCTCCAAGGCAGTAGAGAAAACAAATCAAAGGCCAGTAAAACAGAAGCAGGCCCGCTCCGGGGTCGCTCACCTGCTCTGAACGATGATGCAGTCCTGATAAAGCCTGTCGTACATGCAGATTTTCAGATCGACGTCAGGATTGCGCACCCAAACGGGTACGGCCACGGAGACGGCCGTGACAGCGAAACGCAGCTGAATGGGAGGAAACAGAGACCAAAGAAGCCACTCTGATGTTGCATTAATTGGAATTAAAGGGGAACACCCCTTTAGTTAACGTCCCAGTAAATAATGAAAATGAGAATAAATATAAATATAACAATAGATATGGGAAATTCTTGCCAAATTTCACATTTTTTAAAAAAAAATCAAGCTATCTCCTGGGGTTATTGACCCTACTCCCTCCTCTTCCACCCCCTTCCCTTCCTGAGCATTCCATCATCTTTCGGGTTGATGAGAACAGATTCGAGAGATCACATTTGTCAAAAAAGCAGGTTAGGCAACATCAGAACTCGGAAAAGTTATTTTTTGTACAGTATCCCATCCGCCACCAAAGGTGGAAATAAATGGAAATAAAAGGGGGGGGGAAGTCACTTTTACAACTTCTATAACAACAGAACAAGAAAGGAAATAAACAGTGGCACTGCAACTTCTTGAACTTTCAGAAGTTCGGAAACATCTGGGGATGTTGAGGACAAATTAAACCCAGGGAACGAAGTCTGGGAATCGGGGTTCCCGCTCAAGAGCGATAGGGCAGCAGAGAAGAGGCAGGCCGGTGCTTTCCCTGCCCACTTATGTTCCCCCAAAACTCCCTTCTCATGCAGCCACACACAATTTACGCTGCCACATTATGGAAGAAAGTGACGGGAGGAAGAGGAAGAGCAGCTACCAGCGGGGGTTAATCACACTCCTCCAATTTGCTACTTCTCCATTTCGAATTTGGTGTCGCCATGATCTTTTGCTGCTGTTTACACACAGCAAGTGTCTCAGGCCTGGCTCGGCGGTGCGTCTCGGTCAAATGGGGTGCTTCTGAGCTTGCCTGAGAGGCTTCTGGGTCCATTTTTCTGTCACCCCCCCTTTTCCCGCACCCCCCTCGAGTGCTTTCTAGCAGCAATTAAAAAGAAAAAGACAAGCCAACCGCCACTCACCGGTCTGCAGTCCGGGTTGTCAAACGTAATCTCAAAATCCGCTCGCACGTCCCCCGGGACTGTTGGGGTGAAAATAATCTGAAGTTTGATGGAGGTAAAAGGCCCAATGTCACCTTCGGTCACCTGCACGACAACAGAAAGGAAGAGCAACGACAGCGGATCGTCGTTCTGGTTTCCGTTCGCTTCCTCCGTCTTGACCGTGCACCTTTTCTGCCGCTCCTTGAGAATATTTTAGCCTTTCAGCAGGAAAGGAGCAGGAAATCTCGCTTTCCACAACTTCAATTGCTCTCTCTCTCTGGTTGTGCCTTTTTCTGTTCCACAGAAGAGAGAGAGATGGACCTTCCGTGGCTAGAGCCCAAGTTGTCGGTAGAGACAACTTTGAGCTCTGCTCCTAGCATTTCCAATTACATCAGGAGGACTAGGATGATGGGCTACCAAGCCACTTTTGGAGGCCTGGAAGCATGATTCTCAACCGACATAAGGCATGCCTTCCTGACGTCTCGTTTACCTCAAACCATTTACAGTGGTGCCTCGCTTAACCTTCCTGACATCTCGTTTACCTCAAACCATTTGCAGTGGTGCCTCGCTTAACGAGGATAATCCGTACCAGCAAAATCGCTGTAGACCGAAATCCTCATTAAGTGAAATAAAAAATCCCATTGAAACACATTGAAAACCCGTTCAATGTGTTCCAATGGGCTGAATAACTCACCGTCCAGCGAAGATCCTCCATGGGGCGGCCATTTTTTATCTCGTTTACCTCAAACCATTTGCAGTGGTGCCTCGCTTAACGAGGATAATCCGTACCAGCAAAATCGCTGTAGACCGAAATCCTCATTAAGTGAAATAAAAAATCCCATTGAAACACATTGAAAACCCGTTCAATGTGTTCCAATGGGCTGAATAACTCACCGTCCAGCGAAGATCCTCCATGGGGCGGCCATTTTTTGTGCCTGTAAAGAGAGGAATCCGTCCAAAAACACAGCGGGGAGCCATTTTACACAGCGGGCGGCCATTCTGAAGCCACCAATCAGCTGTTTTAAAAACATAATCTAGCAAAGAATCGGTTCCCAAAGCAGGAAACTGATCATCGGGAAGCAAATTTTGCCTATTAAAACATCATTTTGCGATCGCAAAACAGTCATCGTATAGCGGTTTCGTCGTTTAATGAGGTAATCATTAAGCGAGACAACACTGTATTCTGAAACAAGATGTAGACTTTCGGTCACTCCTGATTTCCAAGCAGGGTGAGAAATGGAGGTGTGGGGCCATTGACTCCAACCCCCCCTTTGGAAACCCACTACTGTGTTAGAAATATCGGAGAGCTAAAGATGGGGAAAGCTTGGCTAGTTTTAGACTCCAGAGCAGTGGCTCCCAACCTTGAGTCTTCCAGGTGTTCTTGGACTACAACTCCCAGAAATCCTGGCCAGCACAGCTCATGGTGAAGGCTTCTGGGAGTTTTAGTCCAAGAACATCTGGAGGACCCAAGGTTGGGAGCCACTGCTCTGGAGGGACCATGGCCCAAATCCTGATGATGGTTCTCCCATCAAGTAAAGACCATCCATGACTATCAACAATCTTTGACTTCAAGCTAGGAATGAACCTGGAGGTGAACCCTGGCCTGGCATATAAGGCAGCTTCCCATTGTTCTACAAAACTTTCACGCGGTCTTCTTCCAGAGAGCTGAGCAAAACATTCCTAAGTTAGCTTTCATGGATGATCGCTTCCAGAATTCTGGAAACGTTCCTTCAGAAAAAAAATAACTTGTCCAAGTTGCTCTTGCCCGGGCGCTCGCACGGATGTGCCCGTCCTGTCCCTCTGCCAGTCGGTTACCTCGCCCAACGTAATTTCGGGTAGTTCTTCCTCAGATGGGGGTCCGAGACGGCTCACATCCAGAGAGCTGAGTGGCTTTTCTCCGCTGACGCTCGTCTGAGAAACCATTCCACTGAATTGTTCTAAAAGGCAAGCAAACACAGTTGTAAATAGTTGTTAGCATTACGGGTGGCCGTAGAGGCGAGATCCATGCGCATTTCGAGCTCCTACCTCAGCACAGAGCGATGGATTCTTTTCCTCGAATGACTAGCAGCAATTCAAGGTCTAACTAGACCTTGCAAGTCATTCATAGTCCAAACATCCTGTGACTACCATTCAGAGCTGGCCATATAGTTGTAGAGAAACCCCCAAAAAAGCCTCTTTAGAAGCCAGCTGGTGGTGGCCAATGTCTGGTCCCATATTTATCCATGCAAAATTGCTACAGCAAACGCTGCTGGGACTATGAGACAAGGTGCCGATCACGTGAGGTCATGCATTTGATCACGTGACTCAGCTGCATGGCCGTGGCCGGTTCAGCGGTTGCTACGATGACCGAACAGGATGCCAGCCTATTTCCCTGAGAAAAATTATTGATCGCCCCACCCGAGATTCCCCGAGGAGTTGCGATACCTCTTTCCTCAAGGCAAAGCCAGAGTTACAGATAATCCGTGTACGGGCAGAGGGAAATGCTTAACTAACGAAAGCATCTGAGTGTCCACGCAGGGGTTCTCACCCCTACACGGGGCAGGCAGATGAGCCTGATTGGCCAAAAGACTGGGACAGCTTTAAAATTTTGTTTTCGCAAACCCGGAAGTCTCCCTCAGTTACTTCTTTCCAACACAGAGACACTTTTGGCTCTCCTTATCAGCCCTTTCTAATGGCCCTGTCTGCTCCCAAACCCCTCCAGCTGTTTCTTTTTCTCTAGTCCGTACCAAATGCGCTGTTTGTCGAAGTCATGTTGGGCCTTAGCTTGTCGAGCAGCGCTATGTGCTGGACCACCTCCTCAGAGCCAGAAGCAGTTTCCTTCTCAAGCGTGGACCCCTCCAGAGTACAGCTGCTGCCTTTCTCGCTGACGCTTCTTTCAACAACGAGACCCAAGACCTAATTAGATGATATATAGGACAGGAGGTTGGGTGGCTGTGTGCTTTTCCCCCTTAAGCGGTAAAATTCCAATTTATTTTTCAGATGGGTCGACAGGGACCGAGGCCATCTGTCTCCGAGATCGGCTTCCACCTACCACTGTGGAAACAGAAGGTGGGTTTCCACTCTGAGGATTCCTAGCCGTGGTAACCCACTTTGCCTGCCAAAAAGCGCACGTCCCGAGGGGGGGGCAGGGACTGAGGGAGAGGGGGCCTTTTTTTTCTCCAAGGGGCTTGCTGGTGACTTGAGACACCGCATCGTCCAAAGGACACAAGATCCGCAGGATCGTGGGGACAAGAAGAATGAACGCATGCGCGGAGAAAGAGGGGAACCCTCTTTCTCTTTCCCCTGATTTTAGACTCAGCAAAACCTCCTCCCCAGAATATTTGGGACACCGAATCATTCCCCAGGATCTTTCCGGGAATGTCTCTCCAGGATGGGACTTGGAGGAACTATTTTATGGCGGCTCTGATCCTTCTTGGAGGGGAAAACCCAGACGGTGGTGCTGAGGGGTTCCTGTTTGACACCCCGGCAGCTGGCCTGTGGGCCCCCCCTCCGCCTTCTCTTTTGTCCCCTAGGCTGTTCAACATCTACATGAAACCGCTAAGAGAGTTTGCCCAGAGTCTGGGAGTTCAGTGTCGCCAATATGTAGATGACGCCCAGCTCTATCTCTCCTTTCCTCAGCGTTCTAGTCAGCAACAGGCCTTGGCTCAAGAATGCCTCAAAAATAATGATAGAGCTACCATCACGTTCCTCACGCCCACAGCCAGAAAAGAAATGAGCACCAAGCTCTGTGTAGTCATTACGGTCAGAATAAGACAATCCTAGAATCGTGGAGTGGGAAGGGGGCCTCGAAGGCCATCCAGTCCAACCCCCTGCTGAAGGCAGGAATCCCAATCAAAGCAGATCTGAAAGAGGGCTGTCTAAGTTCCCCTTGAATTCCTCCAGCATTGGAGCGCTCGCCACCTCCCAGGGTTATTGTTTCCATTGTCGTACTGCTCTAACAGTTAAGAAGTTTTTCCTTTCCTGATAGCTTCCTGTAGCTTAAGCCCATTATGATGTGCCCTGCACTCTGGCATGATGGAGAACAGATTCTGCCCCTCCTCTGGAGGACAGCCTTTCAAGTCTTTGAAAAGTGCTATCTTATTTCCACTTAGTCTTCTTTTCTTAAGGCTAAACCTGCCCACTTTTTTCCCATCTTTCCTCCTAGGGCTTGGCTCTCCAGTCCCCTGATCCTCCTTGTTGCCCTCCTCTGAACTTGCTCCAGTTTGTCGGCATCCATTTTAATGTCCAGAAATGGACACAGACTCTAGATGGAGGCCTAACCAGCGCTGAACAGAGGGGGACGAGCACCTCACCGGATTTGGAGGACAATACTTCTGTTAACGCATCTCAAAATCGCACTGGCCTCTTTTTTTGCAGCCATATCCATGTTTCAATCACTCTCAAAGGGGTGCGTAACCGAGCGATAAGAAAGAATATTGGCAAAAGGACGTGGGGATCACCATCATCCCTAAAAACTGAGTCAGCCTATTTGTTTAAAAAAAAGAAAAGAAACACAGAACCCAAACAGTTTCAGTTTATCTCAAAACTCCTTCCACGTTTCACCTGAGAAGAATCTTTCTACATTCAGCTTCAAAATGTGGATATGGCGAAACTCTGCAGCAATCCCTGGCCGACACCCTTCTCCAACCCACGAAGGTAAAAAAAAAAATGACAAAATTTCATCCGAACTGCCTTCTTCCTTCTCCCTAAAGTCTGGCCGAATATAGAAAGCTGCCATTCCCTTCAGATTTCGGCCATTCTCTGGGAGTCTATTTCCACAAGGACCAAAATAAAATAAAGCAAAGTCTCGGGGCACCTTTGCGACAAACACATTTATTTCAGGGTGACCTTCTGTGGGTCGCCATCTGCTTCTTCAGGAAGAAGTCACCTTGGGCTTCAGAGTGCTGAAGAACGAGACGGGGGGGGGCACCGCGAAAAATCACCCTGAAATATATTTGTGTCAGCTGTGAAGATGGCAGAAGCCTTGCGCGGTTTCTTTTCATCCTTCTGCACTTCAGCAAAACTTCGGCGACAGCTTGACGCTGGATTTTGGTGGGCAGCGTTCCACCCAAACAGACGTGAGGGGGAAAGGGTGGTGGGGGGAGGATGATGGATCCCTCTGGGGAAACGAGCAGGCCTCTCGAGACTGTCCAGGACTATTTTTAAGATCTGCTGATCAGCACCATTTGGCGTTTCTCGGAGTCCATGGGAGGAAAAAAAGTTTTCGCTGAGACTAACCGTCCTCTCGGTGGATGGCAAGGCTGTCGTCATCTGGGCAGCATCAGTGCCGGCTGATTTGCCAAGCTGGAAGCGTGTTCCCAAGGCGCCGGAGTTCGTCAAGGTGATGATCCGTGAAACTGTCTGCCCGACCACATGAGTGCCGAAATCAATGAGATCTTTATCAAGCGCCAGCTGAAAAACAAAGGTTGGAGAGAGGCAGGATGCAAGACCCTAATGACTACTGTTCTATCTGGGAAGGAACATCAGTTAAACGAATGCAGGGGGAATCTTAATCATCCTTGCTCTTGTGTCAGAAAGCTATGGCGCAAAGAGATTCCCACCCACCATGATTTTAGGTCCCAAACGACCCTATTTGACCGTGGAAAAAGAAACGTCCCTACATCCACTCACAGAGACTTTCTTAAATGACTTTCAGCCAGGCGCGGATAAGGAAGAAAATGTAAACGCTAGATTTGTTTTTATAGCAAAATAAGACATTCCTGCCCAGGCAGGCTCTCCGCAGACACGTGGCAGGAGAAAGCAAAGGATGAAAGACAAACCAGGGAAAAGTCTGGTTTATTATTATATCCTGCCCATCTGGTCATATAGACCAGATGGGCAGGATATAAATCAAATCAAATCAAATAAATCAATAAAATAAAATATTAAACCCTATGCAGTCTGCACCAATAGCTTGTCCTTGCTCATTAGCACCTAGGTATTCTGCAGCATGTGAATATGCCACAATTGGAAGCCATCGCATTAGGAGTAAAATATGGGAGGCAGGAATATTCCTGCCTGGATCTACCACCGTTGCAGAGTTTTACATTTCTTGTTAAAATCCTCTGCGCAACAGGAGTGCAGGGATTCACAGAGGAGAATACATTCAGGTTGCCCGGAGTAGACCACCCCTGTCTCATTAAGCTGGCACTTACCATCCCAATAATGCACCTGGGAGAAGTTAATAATTGAAAGAATAAAAGGTTTTGTTACTTACAATTGAACAGATCAAACAGCAAACTAACAAACACGACTGCTTTCAGCAAACAGACTGCAACAGACTACAGACTGATGGGGGGAGGGGAACAGAGCAGAGAAGTGGGGCTCTCTTGAATCAGAAGCCAGGAAGGAGTGACTGGTTAGTGCTGGATAGATTTAATGGTCACCACAACCCTGAAAGGTCCCTCCCAGTCAAACAAACTACATAACTACAAGCAAAAACAAAAAACAAAACTAACAACCACTTCCAAATGCAACTGGCTGCCCAACAACGCCAACAACCACTTCCAAATGCAACTGGCTGCCAACTTTTTTTTGCCCTACAAAGATAGCATCAGGGGAGAGAGAAAAAAAATCAATCTTTAAAATAATAAATCATAATCAGCCTCAATCCATAGTCGTTTGCAAAAAAAAAAAAGACGGGTTTAATTAAAACAATGGCACAGTACTCCTCCAGTCCAAACTGGACACAGGCATCATCCACCCCAAATGACAGGTTTTTATAACTTTTGTCAGAACATAAGTAAGTAAAAAAAACTGCCCCTGAATTATTTTGCAAGTAGCAAGAAAGCAAGTGGAGGAACATACGTACATACTCAGCCATCATCATCATTTTAGAATGTGCGAGCTGGAAGGGGCCCTAAAGATCATCCAGTCCAGCCCCTGTCAAGAAGGCACAAGTGGGGAATTGAACTCCCAACCTCTGGCTCCACAGCCAGAGACCTAAACCCCTCAGCTGTCCAGCTGCCTAACCCTTAAAGACAGCTCTTAAGGTCTAAGTAAGTGATCACCCCTCAAGCCATTCCATGCCTCGGGGGATGCCTGGCTGACTTAGAAGGAGGCTGCCCCCCATCAGCAGTCCTGTACCTCATACACACAAAAATTCAGGGACAGTTGCCTAGCAACGCCATCACGTTCGTACACGATCACGTTTCAGCCTTCCTTAACGAAATTCGTTCGACACTATTCACCGAAGGTGTGCTTTGCTCCCCTAAAGGCGAACTGGGGCTCTCCAGAGCCGCCGAGGCCCTCGAACCTGGAAGGTGCCAAGCGAGAAAACACAAGTGACCACCGAACAGAAACACCTACGGAATATCCCGAAGAGAAATGGCAAGCTCGGGGGCGGGGGGGGAATCAGACCGACGGACCCTTAACGCCTGGGGAGAATCAGCTAAATCTAGGGTTCGGATTTAAAATTTGTGGTTCTTCAGCACCAACCGGGGGAAGCAGAGAGCAGCCGGAGATTTCCTCAAGAAGGAGCATTTAAAAAAAAAGAGGGACATGAGAGATCAGGGGTCTGGGCATCTGACTGTGGAGCCAGAGGTTGGGGGTTCGAATCCCCACTCGGCCTCCTTGACAGGGGCTGGAATGGATGATCCCATAGGGTCCCTTCCAGCTCTGCCGTTCTAAGATGGTGATGAGGATGATTATTTCCCCAGCGGGTCAGAAGGCCTTGGTCGGGGAAGAGGATCCAAAACGGAGTGACTTTCTCAGCAAGTGCAGGGAATAGCCAGCCAAAGCACCAAAGCTGTCAGGGCAAAAACTCAGTTCATCTTTGAAAGGATGAATCATGATCAGTCTCCGACGTGGCTCTTCTCCAAGAGAGGCTTGTTTATTTAAGGCCGTGATTGTGAAATGACACGGTGCCCCTTCAAGTCTAATCTCAGCTAAAGCACCATCCAGACAAAATTGCTGATTTTTATGCTTTCGTCTATCGCAAACATCATTTCATTATAAAAAAATAAATAAAATAAATAAGTCATTTCTGACTTATGGCGACCCTGTTTCCAAGGTTTTCCAGGCAGAAAAGGCTCAAAAGTGCTTTACCCTTCCCTACCTCTAGGGGCACTGTGGGACTGTGCACCTTGCCCAAGGCTACCCAGGCTGGCTCTTCTCCCAGTGGGGGAATCGAACTCCCTACCTCTGGCTCCACAGCCAGAGACCTAATTCACTGAGCTATCCAGACAACTCCCTTACACAAAACTCAGTGGAGGAATGGGAGCCCGTCACTCATGCTGAAGGTTAAGGATAAAGCAGAGGAAAAGAGAGGGTAGTTTGAACTCCATTGAGAGTAAATTAAGGTGTCAACTAAACAAATAAATGACTCAACAAAAATGATGAAATTAATAACCCAGAACAGATGATGGTCTTCCAGTCTTTGCTCTTTCAGTGCTTTACTCTTCAAAAACTAGTCACGAGCGATTGTCAAAAGTTAGCTATTTAGATAACTAGACATGTCTGTGATGCTGATAAAGTTGACTATTAAGGAAGTATACGTGAAGCAAGGAAAGGACTTATCCAAAGCTGTTCATTTCCTGCTCCTTTGTTCCCAAGCGGGGGTGTGCATCTCTTGTGTGTGTGCATGTGTGTGTGTGTGCGTTTTCCTTTGTTCCCAAGCGGGGGTGCGCATCTCTTTTGTGTGTGTGTGTGTGTGTGTGTGTGTGTGTACTATTCTAAAACGGGCAGTGCTTACTGCAGTGGAAAGCAAGCCAGGAACAACTCAAGTCAAGCGGGGAGAACTCGTCATGGATAATTAGGTGGGAAAGGAAGAGAGAAGGAGAAGCAGGACCTCTGATAAGGAAAATGGCAACGCTCGAGTCAGAGAGAAGTGGCAGTGTACATTTCCTATTTCATTTATTTATTTCAAATATTTTCACCTCACCTTTCTCCTTAAAATAGTATCCTGAAAGCCCTTCAATCCATGACCCCCTGTGGATTTGAACTGGTGGGATCCTGAGAAATCTGGATGTGCGGGAGCTCCTCTTCGTAGCCCCAGTAGCCACCCCGCCCGGAAAAGAGTCCAAAACTCCAAGCAGCGGAATTGGCCCACCGCGATCGGTGAGGGTCAGGTCTTTTGTAAAGTCAACGGCTCTCAATGTCCCATTCAAGAACAAACCATGCTCTATTACTTTCCATCCTTAACAGGGATCAAGTGGGACAACGTCTCGATCTGGGGGAAACCCATGCCACTCCCAGCTGTTGTGAGATGCCACACCACAAGGGACACAATCAACAACATAAAAACTAGTAGCCATGTGCCTTTACAATTTCCACCACTGCACTACCTAGGTAACTGACCAATAGGGTGGCTGGCCTGCATTTCCCATCTGCCTGTCTGCAACAACTGCTGGATAGCTCAGTGGTTGAGGCATCAGGCGACAGAGCAAAAGGTTGAGAGTTCGATTCCCCACTGGGTCTCCATGAGAGGGGCTGGACTTGGCGATTTCAAAATAAAATATTTTTGATCCTCTAAACAAGGTTCATATAAAAGCACTGCATAAATGAAATAAACAAAAATCAATTGTATTTGAACAAACTCCCCCTCCCCCAATACAAGAAATAAGCATCTTTTGTTTGCAGGTGAGAAGCACAACTATCACATCATCCTTTATCTTAAAAGAGGCGTCTCTCCTGTATGAGAGGGGGAAAAGAATGCCTCTTTTTAAAATGGTGCTTAGCTGTCATCAGCACCTTTCTGAAGATAATTTGCCAGTGAGTCTAGTAATAAAAACTGCCATGAATCTGGTGGCCGATGAAAAATTAGTAAAATTAATCAGCCATAAATGCTACAGGATCACTTTCCCAGTTGCATGGTTAGATTCAACAAAGAACTCCAAAGAATCAAGGCTGCAGACAGGAATAGATTTTTCACAATCTCTGAAAGGTCAGAAATAGACATTAGAGACAGACCGTGATCAGAAGAGGAAAATCCTTAACTGATGAAGGCATCTGAGTGCCACACAGCTCAAAGCTTCTGTCATTTCTGGGAACTGAGATTAGCTACTTTTTGGCAGATTAGCTACTTTTCTTGGCTGACTGTAGTTCAGGATTTGAGTATTAGATTCTTTTGAAGTCTGCTTTTGTAACCCCCAAAAGACTGCCCCACTCGCCTCTCTCTAACATTAATGCATTTTCAGCTCTAATTGCATGCCACTTCTAATGTCTGCTTCTCATTTAAGATTTTGCCCCCTTTACAGTTGATCAACACTATTTGACTGTACCCTTACTGAAATGTGGAAGGTTTGAATCTGAATAAATTTAAGTTTAGGAAAAGAACGTTTCTAGAAAGGCAACATGGAACAAGGAAGCCAGAAAGCACCCATCAGACTGCAGTTTCAAAGAAATAATATCGAAACCTATAGAAATTGCAGTGCCTACTTTAGAGTAAAAAAATTAGTGGGTTTATTGCTAGAAAAGATGCAGCAGAAATGCAAGCGCTCTTTCCTTCTACCATGATAATATATCTACTTTTTTTCCCTACACAGCAGGACCCCTGTAGCTGCAGGATCAATATCCACTGATTCGCTTATCCACGGCCCAAAAATATTAAGAATTTTAAAAGAAAAATCCTAGAAATATATATTTCTAAAGATGAAGCTATCAGAACCGGCCTCCAGAGACCATCCCATGTATAATATGGTTAGTATTCAATATTAAAATAGTATTTGCTAGTATCAGCATTTTTCAGCCTCCACAGAGGGCTTTGGAACTCCCCCCCCCCGTGGATATCGGGGGTCCCACTGTATTCTAAAACAGGCTGGTTTCATGCAATTCAAGCATTCACCTACCACACACTTTTTTGTTGAACATTTTAGTGGGATTGAAAAGGAACCAATTTGGGATAAAAATGTGACTTCTCCTTCAAGATCTTCATTGATCTAAAAGGAAATAAAAATTGCGATTAAAAGAAAATAGTTCTGTTTGTCACCAAGTTAAATATAGCTTTAGCCTACTTGAAGAGGTGATCAAGGATATAAAGCAGTGCTCTGCTAAATGTTAACATCCTTTTCTTTTTCTGTACTATTCATTATTATCCTCCTCCCACCCTGCATTATCCCTTTTAGATCCCAGACTATTTCGATTTGCTTTCAACAGTAATTCGTATCGGATGGACACAATCGCTTGTTTATTTGCATTGTTCAATCACGTTGTGGTTTCTTTCCTGTTAATTACTTATTGTTGTTACTTTGTTTCCGATTGCCATTATCATTGCACACTGGAAAGACACAGCAGAAATCTGCGAATGGAAATACCAAGTCAGAATTAAAGATGTGCTTTTCTTTTCTTTTCTTTTTTGGAGAGGGCAACAAATCCCATAATTCTGCATCCTAGGAGTCCCATCTTATGGACACCTAAATTATGCTCGCCTGGAGACAAGGCCCGGCTGGCTGACTTCATACCTTGGATAGGCCTAACTTCCTGTTTGGAAAGGAAGTTGCCCTGATGGGTTGCTAGGGGCCCTGCCAAAGGAGCCAGTGAGAGTGTTGCTTTTAATGCAGGCCCACCCCCTCTGAAATCCATATGGGAAAAATGTCTTTTGGGCAACTGAGAGAGCGGCTGCGAGTCAGAGCAGACAAAACTGGGTTAGATGGAGAAACTGACAGAGTTCTTTGTGGAATCCTTTTTCTCTTGTGAAATCTGTAAGCACCATTCACACAAGGACAATTCTGTGTCAAACCTACCATCGGTTTAAAAGTCACCCCAACTTCGCAAGACATTCCGGCAGACATCGGACCGGGAGGATCAAACCTTCATGGGAAAAGAAAAGATAACGATCCAATCAGGACCCACAAAACCGATTTATACTATTCTTTTCATAGCAGGAAGAAGAAGAAAAAAACTTGTAAACACACAAAGCACTTCCTTTTCGAAACAATCCTTCTCCAACTTATTAGACGTGTTTGAGGTTGCGAGTTCAAATCACCGCTGTGCCTCCTGGGAGGAGAGCCAGCCTGGGTAGCCTTGGGCAAGCTGCGCACAGGCCTGGAGCACATCTTGAGTCCTCGGAACCCAGAAAACCCTGGGATACTGGAAAAGGGGAGTGACTTGATGACCCATGAAATCTGCAACTATTTTCAAGCTTGCCAAGAGGTTCACCTCCAGTTTCAGAGGGAGGGAAAATAATCTAATCATGAATTGCAGGAGTCCCCGGAATGAGAATCCTAAAGAATGGCATGAAACATGACACCAATTTGCCGTTTGAATTGCAGCATCATTTCCGAGCAGTGGGGCTCAAACCAACCACGGAAATAAGCTGCTAATTTAAAGCTTTCGACGCAAAGCCAGAGTATTAAGACAGTCTCGGCCTTATCCACGTGCGTCTGTTCGAAACACAAGCCACCGCCAGCCACCAATCTGCTACAGTGGGTAATCTTGTTGAGGAAAAGATGCGGAGTCAACACAAAACATGAGCTTCCTCTGAATGCAGCAAGATGGAAGGTGTGTGTGTTTTCATCTTGTGGGCAGGCTCTCCCGTCCTGACCCAAACCCTGTGGGTTACGCCCACCGGGGCATAATGCAATCAAAACCAACCTGGATGGGAGAAGTCAATGTAGGCGGTTAAACTTTACAACGCCCGCCCTGCCATCTGAACTGATGCAGAGTTTTGTATTTTGGTTAAGTTTCTCTAGCTGGCGTAGCACAAGTGTGGACTCTGCTGAGTTTTCTTTTCCCTCTCTTTTTCTGTTGGAAGTCAGTTTTGTTTCTTAGTTTGCTGTTGATCTGTTTGCAACTGTAAGTAATGAAATATTTTTATTATTTCTACTATTAATGTCTCAGAGTTAATTCTTGAGACTGTAAGTGCCAGTTAATTAGAAAGCGGGGAAGGAACCATCTAGGAATGTGAAGCTATTCTCCTCTGTGAGTTTCTGTACTTCTTGTTGTTGTTTAGTCGTTTAGTCATGTCCGCCTCTTCGTGACCCCATGGACCAGAGCACGCCAGGCCCTCCTGTCTTCCACTGCCTCCCGGGGTTTGGTCAAAGTCATGTTGGTCGCTTGGATGACACTGTCCAACCATCTCATCCTCTGTCGTCCCCTTCTCCTCTTGCCTTCACACTTTCCCAACATTAAGGTCTTTTCTAAGGAATCTTCTCTTCTCATGAGATGGCCAAAGTACTGGAGCCTCAGCTTCAGGATCTGTCCTTCCAGGGAGCACTCAGGGTTGATTTCCTTCAGAACTGATAGGTTTGTTCTCCTTGCAGTCCAGGGGACTCTCAAGAGCCTCCTCCAGCACCACAATTCAAAAGCATCAATTCTTCGGCAGTCAGCCTTCTTTAGGTTCCTGCTCTCACTTCCATACATCACTACCGGAAACGGCAGCTTTGAAAATGTGGGTCGGCAAGGGGAGGTCTCTGCTTTTTAAGATGCTGTCTAGGTTTCTCATCGCTTTCCTCCCAAGAAGCAAGCGTCTTTTAATTTAGTGGCTGCTGTCACCATCTGCAGTGATCTGTACTTCTATAGCATAACAAAAAGGAATTTTTGCCAGAAATTCAAAATTCTCCAACACTTACTAGGCTAAGAAGAAATGGTGGAGGGTTTTGGAAAATCACAGCTAAACTGAGACAGAAAGATTTGCTCATCCTTTAGCCCCCAAAATTGAGTTATTGCATGACTGTGAGCTCAAAAACACCCCCTTCCCCTTTGTTAGAAAGCCACAGCAATCTGAGAACATGGTCTCCGGAGCATGAAATCCGTTACTGAGGTGCGATGATGCGTTCGCTTGCAGTGGGGAATGCATTGTGGCGCTTCACTGGGACGTGACAGAAAACATCAGCCTCATGAGTTGCTTGATCAGGTTAGGATGATGTTCACTTTTATCTCAGCACGCAATGAGTTCAGTTAAACAGCATCCATTTAAAGGCAGCACCGGGAATGATGGTGGAGCATAAATGAGGATAATCACTATGCGTGCTGCGGATGTGAATCTTGCAAACTCTGGGTCTCTTAAGAGAAAATGAGACAAATATTGTCACTTTCACCTCACAATGAGATTTCTCTGCATGAGTTTTTTTTTCCTTGATCCTGAGAAATCTTATAGAACCTCTTATAGGATTTCTCAGAAATTTCATGGATGAGTTTTTTCCCCCACCCTTAGAAAACAAGGTATGCAGGATTATTACACTTCCTGCACAGAATGTACACTTTTCTGCGCAGGACTGGCCTGGAATGGGCGAAGAAACATAAAGCTATGCATGGGTTATTTTAATTCCTGGGCAAGAGTGCTGTCCTCCCTGGGCAGGATTCTCTAGAAAAGGACAGACGGTAGATCAAAGGGCACAGGGTTTCCCTGGACGCCCTGCGCAAAACGGCGCCTCTCCTGTGCAGGATCTGTACAGAATTCATTAGGCTGCAGAGCAACATGGTGCAAAACAGAATGGGGGGGGCACAAGACCAGGAACTTGGGTTTGTTGATAAATTTTACAGCTTAGAGAGAAAAAAAAAGACTTCAAGTCATTGGGATTTTTGAGAATGAGTTACGTCATCACGATAGGATGAGGAAATCAAAGCCAACAAAGCAGATGTTCCTTAATGCCATCTCATGAACTGGCTTTCTGATGAGGTTGTAGGACTCTTGTTTATACAGAGAGGATCCACGGACTTTAAATTCTGGGACTCATACACATCACTTTTTCTCCCTCCCAGACCACCCTACCCACAAACCAAGCCCTCACATTGACTTACAGAACAGTGATGAAGTCCTTCAGGTGTTCAGTGACCCCGACAAGCTTGCAATAGTTAATCGCATAGAAAGCGTTGATTAAGACCATCTTTTTTTTGTAGGTTTTACCAATATCAAAGTCCTGGAAGGAATCAGAAAATACTGTATGTGTAGTTAGTTATGTTATTATACCACCCATCTGGCTACCAAGGCCACTTTATAGAGACCATACCGTTGGTTAAATCAAAGATATGTTCTCTACATGGCAATCCTATTTGGGGCCCATCCTGAGAAGGCAAGATTCTCTGAAAAAGACAATAAGGTTGGGAAAAGTGGAAGGCAGCAGGAAAAGAGGAAGACCCAATATGAGTGGGACCGACTCCCTAAAGGAAACCACAGGCTTGAGTTTTCAAGAGCTGAGCCAGGCCGTGGAGGGCGGGGCCTTTTGGAGAGGGCTCATGCATAGTTGACAGCACTTAACAACAATAAGAAATATTGAGATGGCACAGAAATCCTGAGCAATTATTCGCTGAACCACAGAGTAAATGGATCAGTAAATGGGACGCGCCCTTCCCCAAACAGAATACCTGAACTTAAGCCCTGGAAACACATTCATGTCTGCTCAAGTTCTGACTTTGGACTGTTGGGTTGATTGAAATCTTCCATATCGGGCTAATTTTCCTGCAAATGCATCAAAAGTTGTACTGTTGGTTTTAGTATTTTCTCAGCATCCAAACGATGCACAGCTTGATCCGACATCCAGGCCTTTTCTCTGCCTTTACGTGCCTTCCATTTTTTCTGTCCCTGCTGCAGGTATGAGTTATGGTGTTACCGGAGTGGAATTTAGCCCTACGTTGCTTTCAATGCGAAGCAAACTTCTCCATCAAAGGCGACCAGTTAGAAGTTCCAGAGGCAAAGCTCTAGCAGGTAAGTGGATTGATAAGGATTTCTTCCCGGCAGCATTTCAAAAATTTCATGAGAAGAGGTTTTCAGAGAAGCATCTTTGTTCGGCGCAATCTGGATGGGAACTATGGGGAGCCCTGCTCTTTATATGGCTTTGCAACCTGCCCTTTGAACTTGCGGTATAGGATGGGGTCATAAATGTTTTAAATAAATAAAAAATAAGGAAGAGTGGTGTTTTAGGCACTAAGAACATTTGCATTTTCCACCCGGCTTAAGACGCCCTTTCAAAAACATAGGAATCACCACTGCAGCATTTGGGAGAAGGGAAATGGGGACAGTCACCCCACCCACCTTGAAATGAATGACGCTCGGTTTGCTATAGAAAGGGCACCCTTTAAATTCACGTCCACAAACCCGAGGTTTGTTAATGACACCATGATGCAGCTTTTCTGTTTCTGGAGCAATAATTTCCCTTTCCAGTTCTGCTCTCCCATGAAGGCTGGAGTCTGTTCTGTCATCTTCGCCCTGTGAAATGGGAGAGAATCATCCTCTTAGAACGGCAGAGCTGGAAGGGACCCTGCGGGACATCCAGTCCAGACCTTGTCAAGAAGACCCTGTGCGGAATTCGAACTCCCAACCTCTGGCTTTGAAGCCAGAGACTGCAATCACTGAGCCACCCAGCAATTATTAGAGGGAAATTATGGTCTGTCTGATTTACCACCGCTTCCCAATTGGACAAACTCATTGAAGAGGTGAATATTCAAATCTCCAGTTTTGTTTTGTTTTTATAAAGAAGGTGGTTAACTGTTTGGTGCAAACTCTCTCCCAAACATTTCCACTGAAGATGACAATCTTAGAAATTAATTAAGCGAGCCACCCAGCAGTTATTAGAGGGAAATTATGGTCTGTCTGATTTACCACCGCTTCCCAATTGGACAAACTCATTGAAGAGGTGAATATTCAAATCTCCAGTTTTGTTTTGTTTTTATAAAGAAGGCGGTTAACTGTTTGGTGCAAACTGTCTCCCAAACATTTCCACTGAAGATGACAATCTTAGAAATTAATTAAGCAAGCGTCTGTGCCAGGAGACGCAGCATAAACTCGATATTGTAAACACCCAGCTTTAAAAGATTCACGGATTGTTCTGTTTGGAGGTTCTGAATAAATTTTTTTAATGTAGTAATTTCGATTTCTGTCTTTTCCAACTGATTCCGGGCTATATATCGGAACCAGAGAACCAGTCCACAGGTCCCTGTGGGTTCGAATATAATGGTTCATGACAGCTTCTGGGCTGGGCAGGATTTTAGCGGAGACACTGACGGCGAACACTGTTTCCTCAAGGTGGTGATGGTTCACTGAAGCAAACTTTAGCAAGGTCTTTTCCTTTTGTCTGCCGTCAAGAACTTCATGTGACAGAAAAAGGGCGAGGAGATTTCAGCTCCTGCCTCTGCATTTGGACTTCATTTTACCTCATGAAAATGTTATCTGCCCAATGAGCGAAAAACCCTGGCTGCTCCAAGGACATCCGAGCAAATTATAAGACGGTCCTTCAAAAGGGGAATCATTGGGAGAACCGAACAACGACCGGTCACCAAAAATGGAAAACTCATGATAAAGGGGGGAAAGAGACCACAAAGCCCCTAAAACTGTCTTATAATCTCAGAATGGCGGGGCTGGAAGAGACTCTATCCAGTGCAGCCCCTGTCAAGGAGGCCCAAGCCGGGGAATCAAACTCCCAACCTCTGGCTCCACAGCCAGAGACCCAAACCACCGAGCTATCTGTCATGTTCCTCCAACTCTCTAGTCTTAGGGTTTCAAACAGAGGTGTGCTGGTGTGTCTTTCTGGACTACAATCCCCAGAATTCCCCAGGCGGCACAGCCGAACCTGCAAACCTCTAAAATCCAGCTAGAAGGCGGGAAAGGTTGCTACTTTCAACAGACATCTCAAAATAGTCCATCTTTTTATGGCTTTTCCGCCTAAGTTGGCCCACCGTCCCCTCCTTAGGCGTGACCCCAGAATACATCCATTCCCGGGCTATGTGATTTGCGAAATCAGTTCATTTAATTTGGGACCCAAAGCTTTTATCTACGATTCTCAAGAGCTGCTTGGCCATCTCCCCACCGCAGGGTGAGAAACGGCTTCCCGACCCGAGAGCCTCCAGTCTCAGCAACTCGGCCAAACGTCATTTTCGGTTGCAAAAGTCAAAGAAGCCGGCAAGCGTGAAGTGAAATGTGTCCAGACCGATCTCTAAAGCAAGGCTAAGCTGGGTGCTTTTTTTCCCCCCCTCCCTCAACTGAAAGGAACAAAAGCTTTGAAAACTATGGCAAATTTCAGCTTCGTTGGCTGGCCACCTTCTAATTGGAGTTTTTGGCAAGCAAGACAGGGGGGGAAAAAAGGAGGGTCCATTTCCAGAGTATAAGAGAAATCTCATTGCTGGAAGTTTCAGCGCCACAGCTGTCCAGCTGTTTATCGGTTTGGGGCGAGAGCAGAGAAAAGAGAGGCGCCAGCCTCGCATTTGAGGGAAGAAGGCTAAACGCAGGATCGCCTTTCCCTCGGGAAATCTTTTCCAATCCGTCAAAGAAAAAGGAAAGAAAAAGAAAAAGTTGGGAGTGTTAGAATCTTAACCTTGGAGAGGCTGCCTTCTGGGTCCCAAATCCCCCCAAACTCCGGTTCAGCGAGAGTCTTTCTCTGCTCTTCTTCCTCTTTTTTCTCTTCCCTTTCTGGGACCGTCTCCTGCGAAGCTTCCCCGGCGCCACTTCGATCATCCAGGGAGTCACAGGACGAAAGGGTACGCCAAGGTTTCTATGGCAAAACAAACATAACCGGCCGTTTTGGTGGAAGAGCATTTAATTTCTGGTAGAATTCCTTTTTCTATGCAGGACAGCCATGGAGAAGAATAGCTAGAAATCTCCGCTCTTTTCTTATTAACTGGCACTTCATGTCTCCATAACTCACTCTTAAACACAGCAGGAACCAGCAAGGATTGCGAACAGAAAGGCTTAACTATTCCCCCAACCTCCTCAAATTAAAGGTAGAAGCAGAGTTGCGGAATGTTGCGGCTTTGGACTACAAACTCCAGAATCCTCTTGGGCTGGCTAAGGATTCTGGGCTTTAGAGTCCAAAACGGTATGTTTTCTAAGCTCCGGAAGGCAAATCATATTGTTTTAGCCGGCTTCTTTTGTCCTTACAGGTAAAGCCAAGCCAGCACAACCAATTTCCCTCTCTCTTGTAGGAAGTTTAGGAGGTTTTTCTGCTGCTCTCCGCTCTCAAAGAGAGAGGGAGAAAGAGGGAAGGAAGGGGGGGGGAGCAACCATCCTGAAACCGAATTCTCATCCCCCTCCTAAATCGAAGGTAGCTTCAGCCTCTTTGGCAGCAGTTTTGAGGTTAAAACATCACTCACCTGCTCTTTTTGCCATCTAAGATTTTAGCTGCAGGAAGAAACCCTGGGATTTCCATACCGATGCCATCTGTTTACGCCTGCCTAAATGCCAAGTTTGTACCCTTTGCTGTTTGCTCACCTGAGTGACAGCTGCCACTGCATCGTCACACGCTTCCTCTATGTACCGCCAGGTTTTCAGGCGCCACCTTACGGCGTCGGAAAGCTTCTCCGGGCGCTTCGCCCTCTGCGGGAGGCCCTGCTTCTTTACCTTCTCCAGCTGGGCGTCTTCTTTCAAAATCTGAGCGACAATTTCTAACTTCCTTGCTTTCTGCTGTTCCAGAAACTCCCTGGATTTTAAAACAATGGACGGGGGGAAAAAAAATAAGGGCAAGGAGAGAACTTGCCAAGAAAAGGAGTGCTGGAAATTAGAATCAAAAAGGGTCTTGGTCACCCGTAGAGTAGGCCTATTAAATTCAATGGGACTTAGAGAGGAAGGGAGTCCCCCGATCCTCATTGATTCAATGGGCCGACTCTAGGGCCATTGACTGCACCAAGCAATAGGATTCTGATGGATGTGTTTAATTGTATTTGAAAAACAAAACAAAAACATGTAATACCATGTTTTCAGCTGGCTTATTGTGGGTTTTTAGTTGTTTGTGAGCCATCTTGAGTCCCTTCACCGAGGGAAAGGCGGCATTAAATAAACAAACAAACATTGAATTATATTAGAAATGACGAAGCACAGGCTGCCGATCTGTTCCTGGGCACCATTTAAAGTGCTGGTGCCAATTTATAAAGCCCTAAATGGAACACACACACACAGCAACACCAATACATGTTGTGTTAGTGTGTACGTACACACAGAGGGACCTTTATGGCTAATGAGTTTTGTTTGGCGTGACTATGGTCTGCCTCCCCCATCAACACAACCACTTTGGGGGGGAACGGACACACAGTTTTGATTCCTGTGTGAGTAAAAGGAGGAGGGAGAAAACCAACACACACACACAACTCGTGAAAAGCAGGCCACTCACTTCTTCTTCTTCTCCGCCTCCAGCTGCCGTTTGTGGAGAAAAACCGCCCGGGTGGCGTTGAGCCCTTGAGCCTGGATGGCCTCTTTTATCTTCTGCTCTTGCTGTTGAGCGTGAAGAGCCTTGGCTTTGTCCAGGACCTGAAGGTTCTGGAGATGTTCCTAAGGCGCAACGAGAAGAGTCGCTCATTTCTGGAGTCCCCACCACCACCACCACCACCACCAAATGCTCGTTTCTGGAGTCCCACCACCACCACCACCACCAAAGAAATGCAAGGAGACCTGTCCGAGGGGCAGAGCCAGGGGACGGATTTTCCGCTTCCTCAAACTCCTTATTTGCCTGTTTTCTCAGGGAAACGGCCAACGTGAACGGCTGTCAATAAGGGAGGTCGACTCCTTTACAGGAACATTAAAAGAAGGGTAGGTCTTTTGTAAAGCTAATGGTTCTTGATAATCTTTTGTTGTTGTTTAGTCGTGTCCGACTCTTCGTGACCCCATGGACCAGAGCACGCCAGGCCCTCCTGTCTTCCACTGCCTCCCGGAGTTGGGTCAAATCTTGATAGTCTATTCAGGACCAAATCACTCTCAGATACACTACCTTGCAACTGGGGTAGCCTTGATAGTTATTCAGGACCAAATCACTCTCAGATACATCAGATACACTACCTTGCAACTGGGGTAGCTAGCAACCATATACCATCCTTTGGAAAGTTCATTGCTCTCTCTCAGCTACTGTGATGAGTTGGGACTTAGCTTAGAGGGGACAGAGCAGGCCAGGGGGTCTGTGTGTCCTATATGATGTGCTAAGCGCTGATATTTTTTTGGGGGGGGGGAAATCCGAGGACTTTAACCCTGTGAGCCCTGGGTCCACACCCCCACTGGCCGTGACATTTGGAAGCTTTTGGGAATTCAGGATTTCTCTCTTCCGCGCATGGCCTCTTTCTGCCGTCTGTTCCTTAATCTCATGAAATCGTGGTTCCAAGATCATCAGAACACATTAAGTACCCGATGGGAATCAATGTTCTGCTTCAGAGATAACACAGTCTCTCTCCTCTTCTGCATGTACTCCTGGTACTTCTGTTCTTCCTTGGCTTCCTTCTCACGGACCCTGGAAGAAAAAAAACTGTAAGATCATGTTGGAGTCCTTTTCCAGCCTTGCATGCTGCCTGCAGTTAGTTTGGCCGAGAGGGACCTTCCTGGGCTGGGGGGGGGAGGGGGACGGTCAACCTCTCCAGCACTCATCAATCATACCTTCTCTGCCTCCAAATTAAAAGTGAGCCCCGGCTCTCTGCTCTGTGTCTCTTTTTCCTCTCTCCTGAGTCGGTTTAAGTCTGTCGCTGAAAGCAGTCCCGTGTGCCAGTTTGCTGTTTGATCCGTTCAATTGTAAGGCAATGAAACCTTTTACTCTTTCTACTACTACGACTAATGTCTCAGAGTCAGTGATCAACATGGTAAGTGCCAGTTAATAAGCAAAAGGGGTGGCCTACTCTGAGGAACTTGAAGCTAATCTGCTCTGTGAATCCCTTCTGCCCGGCTAGAGTTGACCCATTGAATCAAATGCTAAATAGTAAGTCAAAACTAAATGGGGAAAGGGGTGGAAATCCTCTTGTTTAGCTTCATAATTTGCAATTAGAGCAGGCCCATTGGATTTCATGGTGCTTATGGAGAAGGAGGAGGAGGAGGAGGCTCACGAAATCTCCATTGATTTTATGGGCCTGTTCTAGTTGTGACTTACGATTTTAAACAACAGGATTTCAGCAACCACATCGATTCTCAGTGTGTGGAACAGAGAACTGCTGATTTATGAAACATAAGCCGTTTTTCCGAGGCTGCCATGAAAACCCGCTCTTAAAAGGCCACCTCAGTCATTTCACGAGGATGCCATCAGCAATACATGTCCACAGCAAACCTTCTTAGGCTGCTTTTCAAAAACCGGATCGCCTTTTCGTGATTCTTCTGAGCGTCTTGTAAAGCTCTGGGAAGCCTCTGCTCGTAATCCTTCTGAGCATCTTGTATTTTTCTAAAGAGAAACAAAAAAAGGGGGGGGGAGTGCTTGGTGATGTGACAACAATCATCTTAGAGCTGCAGAGCTGGAAGGGACCTTATAGATCATCAAGTCCAACCCATGTCAAAGAGGCACAGCAGGGGAATCAAACTCTCAGCCTCCGGCTCCAGATCTAAGCCACCCCAGCAGTTGAAATCTTTACTTCCACTCTTAAAGTAGCAAGACCATGACTGGAGTGTCTGGTGACCTCTGCCAAAGTTCATAGCTTAGTGAGAAAAGAAGAAAAAGCAAAGCAGACATTTTCTTTAAATGCGTCCTATGAGATTCTGCTTGGCAGAATGAGGGCTGAGCAGAGTTTTGAAGGACCAGTGGGGGTGGGAGGTTCTGCTGGAGGCAGATGCACGCTCCTGATCCCTATGACACGAGAGGGCAAGAGATCCCCCGGTTCTCAGACACTAAACCGAGGAATTTTTGCACAAAATGTCTGCGATTGATCACTGATCTCATCTCTCCATCTGCTTTCATGGGAAGCTCTTTCAGATCCTGCAGCGCACTTCCTCTGTGAGCTATAATTAGTTACTCCAAAGCGTGCTTCGTCACCCTCAAAGCCTGCCAAACACCTAGGCTGGGTGCGTTCCAAAGGAGAACTGAACTAAATACGAATGGAGTTGTCCTTATGGCAGCAATGAAATGCCCTTCAAATGACGCACATGAGACCAGAGCTTGGGAAATTACTTTTTATAAAGTAATTCAGATCTATTACCATATTTTTCTGTGTATAAGACACCCCCATTTTTAAGACATCCCACCACCACCTTTTCTAATCCAAAATTAAGAAATCTAAGTGGGGCTTAGCAAGTGTAGGGGGAAAGGGATCAAAGTACTGCAGGATCGCTTTGATCCCTGCTTTCTCCCTTTGCGGGGGAGGGGGAAAGAGATCAAAGCAATCCCGTGACTGCATGATCATTTTGATCCCTTTCTCCCTTATACACCCATGGGATTGCTTTGATCCTTTCCCCCTACATTTGCTAAGCCCCATGAGAGCAAGCAGAGAGGAAAGCAAGGATCAAAGCCATCCCTGCTTTCCTTTTGCTAAGGCTTAGCAAGTGGAGGGGAAAGCAAGGATCAAAGTGATCCTGCAGGGTTATGATCCCTGCTTTCCCCTCCACTTGCTTTTTTCTCGCTTCAGCTTATTTCCGTGCATAAGACGACCCTCAATTTTTAGTCTAAAGATTTTAGACAAAAGTATAGTCTTATACATTGAAAAATACGGTACTTACTGTTAGCGGACTAGCCCGTTTGCAGTGGGAGTGGAACGCTAACTCATTACATAACTTGAGAGGGCCGCTCCTTGCAATTTTTGTTGCTGGGGTGTTTGTGCTTCAGGTTGATAAGAGAATGGTGTAAAACTTGAAAATCTCAAAACAGGAATAATCATGTGCTGTCAAGTCAATTCTGAGTTATGGCGCCTCTTTTCAGAGTTTTACAGGTAGAGAATAATCAGAAGTCATTTCTCATTTGGTTCTTCTGGGGGGTGGGGAGAGAAATCCCTGGGACTGTAAAGGTTGCCCAAGGCTACCCAGACTGGCTTTTCTCCCAGGAGGCTCAGTGGGAGGGAATCGAATTCCCAATGTCTGGCTCGGCCTCCAGAGACCTAAACCCACTGAGCTGTCCAGCCAATCCGAAACCTCAGAAAGCCTCTAAAATGCCCCAAAATGCCCTCTAAATGGAATATAGAGGGGGTAAGGGGAGGTGTGGACTACTCCAGCTTTTAGAAATCAAATCCTCCCAATATGTTCTTGTTTGGAAACAAGAAGTGGTCGTTGAGGATCTCAAACTCCAGGAAGAATTGATGATGGGGAAGCGGTTTGTACCCAGTTTACCTCTCTGTGGCCAGCCACCGACGGTTCAGCTGCTGAGCTCTGCCCTCCTGCTTCCGGAGGCGCTCCTTGGCCTGTTCCTGCTGCTGCCGGTCCAGCTCCCCTTCGTCCCGTTTGACCTGCCGGCGCAGCTCGGAGAAATTCCCTTGTTCGATTTCGATCTTCCACATCTCAAACCTGGTTTGTTGTGCAAAACAGAGGCCGCCATTAGCAAAGACGGTCAGCCCACCAGTGCCCGGGTGACTCCTTGGCTTGCTCAAATAATTTATTCCCCGGAAGGCTCGTCCCCGCTAAATCCCTAAAGAAGCAGGAAAACACCGAGAAAGGCGAAGGTTTGCAGACCACAGATAAAAAGGTCACCAAAGCCAGACCTTACAACACATCAAGAGCCATAAAGCAAAAGCTGATTTTACAAAGGCAAGCATTTTTCTTAGCTAATAAATGGACCGCAACCGGGATTTCCTGCCAGCTATGAAGCTTGAAGGCTTCACAAAGCCTGAAGCCAGTGTATGGAGGCTGGGGAAGAGGATGGTCGGGCACTTCAGACCCCAGGGCCAAACAGCCTCTTCTTCCACATAACCCACACCTTTCCTCACAGTGCCACCTTCTGGTGGGTTTCCCCGCGTTAGTAGGTTTCTTTCTCTACTTGAAATAGACTCAGCTGATGTTTCTGCAATGCCTTTCATCATCATCATGTCCTGTTTTTCCCTTTAAGAACAGCTTTTGGTCAAAAAAATAGTTTAGACATCTCAACATTTTATTAGTTTTTTTAAAAACTTTACCTATATTTCATATACGTCCATAATTTTCAATTGCGCGACACTCTTGACACGATTCAAGAAGGCAAGTGTTTATACATCCACAGGGATTCTGTTGTTATATTTGTCATTCTTTACTACATAGCAGAGGTTCCCCACCTTGGGATCTCCAGATGTTCTTGGGCTGCAAATCCCAGACGCCTTCACCACAAGCTCTGCTGGCCTGCATCTCTGGGAATTGCAGTCCAAGGAATGGGAAACGCCACGGTTTGGAACTACCGCTACGTTTTCACGGATGTCGCTTTTTAAAGGAAGACCCCGAGAAAGCTTTCATCCTGTCGGGAGACTAGCAGTGGCTCAACATTGAGCAGATCCTAGAAAAAGCTTCTTTGGGATGATCCTTTATTTTTTTTCCCATTTAAAATATTTATAGCCCGCCTTTCTCCTCAAGAGGGCTTGTTCAAAGGAAGCAGTATAAAAACTTGGAGGGGGAGGAAGCCAGCAGCTCGCATCTTATCCAGCCAGTTTGGTGGTGGTGGGGAAACCACCCTGCCTGCAGAGAAAGGGCTTTGCCTGCCTGCAGAAGGAGAGCAAAGAGGGGGCCAGCCTGGCCTCCAGTGGGAGGGAGTTGCACAGGACAACATTTCTCAACAGGCCTCTGGGAGGCATCCCATTATCTCGCCCGCCTTTTTCTTATCGTTCCAGGTTTGACACCTTAACTCGTTCACCTGCTTATCTATTAAACTGTACCACTTTTAAATAAGAAACATTGAAGTAAGAGTCTTCCCTCTGCCTCATTGCTAAATTCCTAATTGGGGGTGGGATGGGGGGAAGAAAGTATAATCTTTTCATCATCTCTTCCTGTGTCTCTTTCGCTTACACATTTTCGTTCAGGAGCTGCGCAATTTTGGCCTCAAGGTCCTTTTCATTTCCCAGCTCAGCACGCAAGCGCCGAAGCATCGCCTGGAGGTGGAATACGCTGGCCCTGCATTAACAGGGGAGGGAAGGAGATAAAAAGAAGAAAAGAGGAGAAAATTGGAAATAATGGATGTTAAGAACCTGGCGCCTCAAAAAAAAAAAACCCACCACCTTCATAATAATAATAATAAAAGGGACCACAACGGGTGCCTCGTGGGGGTAAAGGGTTCTGTTTTCAGAATTCGTCTGGTTTGTATTAATGGCATGTCTTTCAATTAGATTTCTAAACAGCCAGCTCTCCTTTTAAAAACCTCTACACCGGCAATAATGAACTCAAGAGCATTTCTGGAGAGACGGCAGCCTTTGCTAAAGTGGTTGGTGATTTGAAGGAAGGAAGGAAGGAAGGAAGGAAGGAAGGAAGGAAGGAAGGAAGGAAGGAAGGACGGACGGACGGACGGACGGAAGGACGGACGGATGGACGGAAGGAGGACGGACGGACAGACGGATGGACGGTCGGACGGAAGGAAGGAAGGAAGGCAGGCATTTCAGTAGACAATTCTACTGAATGTATTTTTATAAATGCTGTTATTCACCCACTACCACCAGATCCAACAAAACCTGAAGTAGTTGTTTTGCATCCAGCATCAAACCTCAAGCATGTGAACTACGGCTAGAATTAATATATTCCCATTGTTCGGCTATCTCTGACTTTGCGTCTTTAAGGTGCGTTGGACGACAACCCCCATTTTTCATGGCTCTCTGGTGCAATGGGAGTTGTAGTCCAAAGCACTGAGTGCAAGGTGATGGGTACAAGCTGCCTCAGGCACCATCCAGGGTCTAAGAAGCACCAGCCAGACTGGGTGGGACTTTCTTTACATCTCTGGAAGGTACAAGGAGACAGCTGCCAAAAAGAGAGCCACAACCATCATGATCATCATAGTAGAACGGCAGAACCAGAGGGGACCCTGTGGATCATCTAGTCCAGCCCCTGTCAAGGAGGCCCCGGAGGGGGGAATCGAACTCCCAACCTCTGGCTCTGCAGCAGTTCAGGCATTTTCTTCCCAAGGAAGTACACACTCCTGAAATGGCAACGGCAAGCCTTCTCTGCCTCCACTTTTCGTACTTTCCCCTCTTTTCCTTGTTTGCAGATAACTTGCAGTTATTTCACTGACTGGGACAGAAGACCCTTTCCTTAGGGTGCGGTGCCTTGGCGCGCAGTTATATTAACGAGATTAATAGCAATATTGTTGTTCCCATAAAAGAACTTCCCAAAATGAGAGGGGATTTCCTTCCGCTTCCGCACGGCTGTCTCCGAGACACGTTTGCAATCAGCCATGCCGCATTAATTAGAGGCCATCTCCTCGCTGAATTCATCAGAGGGGACCTCCTTGCTAAATTAAACAGAGGTCACCTTGTTACAAAAAAAAAAAATAAGGTCTGCTGCTCCTCGTTATGGCTGCGTAATCTGGGTATAGAACTCTTACGGATGATGTTATGTGCGGGAAGTTGCTTCCAGTTTAGGGGAACCCGTGGAACGGATCCTGGAAAAGTCCACGAAGAAGTTCTATAGCTGGCTGGATTGGGTCTCTGGCCGCAGATCCACAGGTTGGGAGTTCGATTCCCCGACTGTGCATTCCAAAAGAACCAGCCTGGGTAGCCTTGGGTGAGCTGCACAGTCCCAGGGCGCCCCCTGGAGGAAGCAATGCCTCGAATCCCAATGACAAAACCATCTCCAATCCTATAATTCCTTATTGTCAATAGGATGGGCACCATACAACCTTGCCAGTGATTCTCGGATTACAAATCTCATCAGCCCTCACCCTTGGCTATGCCGGCTGTGGCCGATGGGCACTGTAGGCCCCCCCGAACATCTGGAAAGCCGCACAGTGGGCGAGAAGACCCACGGGAACTCCACGGCCTGCAATCCAGCCCCCCCGATTGACATTCTCATGGCCAAACAGCAAAGATGACTAGCCTGCATTAGACCACAGCTGCTAAAATTCCTAGCCAGAATACCTAACGGGAAAGGATATAAATTGTTATATTGTGTGAATAAATTCTGGGAATTATTAATTAATCTTAGAACTGCAGAGCTAGAAAAGGACCCTATAAATCGAGTCCAGCCCCTCTCGAGGAGGCCTAGTGGGGGAATCGAACTCTCAACCACAGAGCTACCCAGCAATTGCCCTAATGCAGTGCAAACGGGAATTGCTGTTACCTACACGTTGCCAGCCTCCTTTTCTCTCTCAATGTCTGTCTCCACGTCCCTTTGCTGCAGTGTTAACATATCGATCCGAGAACGACAGGCATTCAGTTCTTCCCTGGAAAAAACAATGATTTCCCATTATTGAGGAGTCAGGCTTTGTTCGTACAGTGGTGCCTTGCTTGACGACATTAATTTGTTCCAGCGAAATCGCTGTAGAGCGAAAATGTCGTCAAACGAAATTAAAAAACCCATTGAAACGTATTAAAAACCAGTTAATGTGTTCCAATGGGCAAAATACCTAATCGTCCAGTGAAGATCCTCCATAGGGTGGCCATTTTTGGGTGCCTGCCTTGCGAAAAATGCCTCCTAAAAACAGTGGGGAGCCATTTTGAGCAGCCGCCAGCCATTTTGAAAACCCAATGATCAGCTGTTTTTATCGTCGTAATGCGAAGAATTGGTTCCCAAAGCAGGGAACCAATCGTCGCAAAGTGAAAAAACCCCATTAAAACATTGTTTTGTGATCGCAATTGCGACCGCAAAAACATTGTCATGAAGCGGATTCGTCGTTATACGGGGTAATCGTTAAGCGGGGCACGATTGTAGATCATTGGTACACCAGACATTGTCATCATCCTCAGACACAGAACAGCCAAAAATCCGATTGCTGTTGCCAGCTAGAGTAGGTGTATTGAATTAAGGGAATTTGCATACCTTTGTTTACTGTAACAGGGGATAAAAACTGGATCTAAGCCTTTGGACTGGTCAAAGGTTGGGTTTACATGTCCTGGGACTAAGAACTGGATCTAGCCCATAAAGAGCCCCACATTTTCTAAGCACTGTATCCAGGTTAGAACGCAAGACCGGTCCTTCCTACAGACTCACAAACTGGGGAGGAAAGGAAACAGGAATGAGGAGGGAAGAGGGCATTTCACAGAGCTTGCTTGGGAGAGTCAAGGCAGGGGTGTTAGATTTTAACATGGATTTCCAATTAGCAGCTGAGTCAACGAGACACAGCTCTCCCTTTTCTCTCCTCTCCCTAGAAAGCCATTTATTTCCAGGCATACATGAAAACAAAAGCAGGTTCTTTTACATGAAGGGCCACAGACAAGCTTTCAGCCTGATGGGAAGTCTGTGTCTTTCAGCTGAAACGCAAACCCTCACAAACCACTTTTATTCCACGCATGGTGGGCAAGAAGGAGACAACTGGCCTGGTTTTCTGAACCATCATCTCTTTTCCTTTGGCTAGGTTGTCAAGTTCGTTCAAGTTCCTGCGTAGGTTGAGGACGCGAACCCGGTCTGCGTGGTTCATTGTCCTTTTGCTACCCAAGGTGGTGGGTGGCTCCAAACTTTCCCTTCGAAGGAAAAAAAAAGAGGATTTCAAATTCCAGATATGGGGAATTCTACGTTTACTAAAAAGCCATAAGAACAGAGAAGAACATCTAGACATTGTCCAGCCTACCAATTCTCAATCTTGGATCCCCAGATGTTCTTGGACTACAACTCCCATAAATCCTAGCCAGCACAGCTAGATCTAAAGGCTTCTGAGAGTTTTCTCCAAGAGCATCTGGGGACCTAAGGTGGGGAGCCATTGAATTAGCCCAACACTTGGCATCATAAGATTAGTACAGTTCACTCCATTTGGTTCACAAGGTAAGCAATACGATAATCTGTCTAATCATAGGATCATTGGGTTGGAAGGAGCCTGTAAGGCCATCAAGACCAACCCCTGGCTCAATCTTTCATTGCACCTTCATCTTTAAACTTAAGTCAATTTTTATGCTCCATTTTCTTTCGTACTTTTTAAAGGGCCCCCAAATGACTCTGTTTCCGAGGTCTTTCAAAATTTTGAGGCCCCCATATTTGGAAACATCGCTGCACTTCTTAACAGATTAAAAAAAGGTTCCACCCACCCCCAACAGAGATATATCTAAAGGTTTGAAGAACACCACCCCCATACCAAACAAATAATATAATTATAAATATTCGAAATGTACCCTAAGCAGAGATGCTAAGGGAAGGATGTCTCAAAACAGCTTTTCAAAGACCGAGAGATCTCTGCGGCCACAGAATTCTTGCTGTCTATTGGGCCATGTGGGGTAGAAGAGGGCAGATGGAAGGAAGGTTGGATCTAAAATCCTGCACAGCAGAAACCCACGCTGCAATATTTTGTTGCAGCTCTTGCTTGCATCTCTGGGCATGAGAACCTGGAACCACCAAGCAGCTTAAGACAAGCCTGTTCATGTGAACTTTTGACTTGGGTGCGGGTGGCCACTCCTGAAAACAGAACTAAATTGCTTTTGGTTTGAGCATCGGAGGACCTGTTGTCTGGAAGAACTTAGAGGTCTGCAGTTTTTGTTTTTTTAAATCAACTCTTTGAATTTTGGAATTGTGGCACAAACTCCACATTTACAGGAAATCCAATCAATGTATTTAGTGGTGAGAAACATATCCGGTCCACGAAGCACGGATGAGTGGCAGACACAGATCAGGTATCCATCCAGCTGCCTAGACTCACCCATCAGACTGAAAATCTCCTCCTGCTTTTTCTGAAGGCTCATCGCTTCCCATCGGGACACTTTCCTCCTCCCGGTAGTCTTCTTCTCCGGAGCCGAGTCCTGATGGAAATGAAAGAGACTTGAGCCCATTAAACAATGGACACTTTGGATTCGGTTCCTTGACAAGCGAAAAGATGAGGCCACTAAGATGACGGGTTAAAAGCTGTGGGGTGGGTGGGTGGAGAGAACCGTGCCACAAAACATTAAAAAAAAGACCATTTTCTACCCGGGGGACTTAAAGCAGACAAACACTCTCCACCTTAGCAAAGGAGCTGTCATGAGCAATCAGCCTTAAGTGCTACGCTCAGGAACTCTGAAATAACCCAATGGGAATCTGGGTTTATGGCCTTCGGAGGCTTGTGGGAAGACGCAGAGAGGAAATGCATGGACATCATGAGGCTGTCTCCTGATGATGGAGGTGGGAGGTCCTGGGGTGAAACCGTGGTTTAACGCAGGATCCGAAACGCAGGTGGCCGCCATCATAGTCCTAACACAGAGTCAGGCTTCTTCTGCTTAAATGCCTCTAAAAACCCGTTCCGCTATCCTGTCACTTCTGCTCTCTGGTCTTGACAATAACCAAATAAAACATTGCACTAAATATTAATAGTGCTTCGCTTTTCCCAGGGAAAGTGGAACTAAAATAAAACCACCACCCTGTGAACGAGGGGTTCCCCCCCCCCCATGTGCCTATTCAGACTTTGATTTTATTCCTCCAGCAGACCTCATTGATGTGATCCAAGTGATTTTACACACCATGATAATCCGGGGGGGGGGGGGGGGGGGACTCTTGGAAAAATGAATCATGGTCTGTTTTGGACTAAAATTCCCCAAATTCTCAAACCAACGTGGTCAGTGGCTCATTTATCCTCTTCTACATTTATGATTTATTTATTTTTATTTATTTCTTTATTTGATTTATACCCCACCCATCTGGCCTTCCGACCACTCTGATCCCAGAATTGATGGTTTATCTTTATTTACTATGAACAAATAGAGTGTTCATGTACCCAGCCTATTCCCCTTGATTTTCCTCTCCGTTCCCGTTAGCCAGTGAGCAGAGCAAATGGGATGACCATAAAGCAAGCTACATAACAAGAAACCAAGTTTTGTCCCCTGAACGGCTGGAATGTTTGTGAACATTCTCTACCTTCACATCACCTTGGTCTATATACATAAGTCAATCAAACCATATTTGCTGTATGTATAACACAGAACAGCAGAATACTTCTGTTTATTAACCTTCCCGTTGGTCTTCCTCTCCCATAAGTGGTTCAGGTGCACTGATTTCTTCTTCTTCCTCTTCTTCTTCATTGTCTTCTTCCAGGAAACACAAATCAGGGGTTAAATCCTCTTCTGAACTAGCAGGAGACGCCATGCCTTTCTTTGGGGTGATTTTCCTCCTTTCTCCTCCAAATGAACACTCAGCTACCAAACAGAAGAAGAACAATCAGTGGGAAAATGTGGCTGATACCCAGCATGGTGTGTAGTGGATAGAGTGATAGGTTAGGACTCAGGAGGCCTGAGTTCAAATCCCTGCTCAGCTATGGAAACTCATTGGGGGTGTGGAACTGGTGCAACCACTCCTTACATATCTCACATACCTTGAGAACCTGATCATCATCGCCATCATCTTAGAACTACAGATCTGGAAGAGATCCTATGGATCATCACATCCAGCCCTGGTCAAAGTGGGGGGTGGAGAGAATCGAACTCCCAACCTCTGGCTCTGTAGCCAGAGGCCTAAACCACTGAGCTATCTAGCGACTCCATTAAGCTCAGTCAAGCCGCCCACTTTATTACAAGAATGTTCCATTCAGTTCATGGGGGGAAATGAAAGAGAAAAATAATATTACCATTTAGAAAACAGGTGCTGCTGCTAAGCAGTGACTGTTTGATTCACACATGAATTGGGTGGGGGGTTAAAAATTAAAATTATTGACCACCTCAGACAGGAGTCATCTAGCTGGGACTCGGTGCCACACAGATAATATTGGTGATACAGTATTTCTTCTTTGGAGGCAATTTGCCTCCCAGAGATACAGCATTAAGCGTAATACCATTGCAACTACACCAGAAGATTTTGGCTACTACATCAAAGTCTCAGGAATAAACCACTAACAGCTATTCAGGTTTCCATATTTATGCATATTTTTAACTGTTATGACTGTGTGGTCATAATTGTCATGAGCCACCTTGGTTTCCCCTGTGTGGAGGAAGGCAGTATAAAAATAAAATATTTAAAGGTCTACCTGTCCCAGATTCTCCTTCACAAATAAGATGGGTGGTCTGGCCACGTTTCCATATTTATGCGTATTTAACTATTATGACTGTGTGGTCATAATTGTCATGAGCCACCTTGGTTTCCCCTATGTGGAGAAAGGCAGTATAAAAATAAAATAAAATATTTAAAGGTCTACCTGTCTCAGATTCTCCTTCACAAATAAGATGGGTGGTCTGGCCACGGGGCCCAGCTTACCCTTGGCTTCTTCTGCCCCAGAGGCAGCCTGCTGTGAGGTTTCCGGTGGGCACAGATAATTCCTATTTATCTTCCCTTGATTTAATCCAAAAGAGAGGTTTGCTTGTTTATTTATTTATTTATGTTAGGCAGCCCTAAAGCAAAGTCTGGCCATGAAAGTTGAGGGACACATCCCAGCATCCATATATATATATTTTGATGGGTCCAGAGTTAGAAACCCACATCCAGGTTAGCTCTTTACATTATAAACCACATTAAAAGAGAGCGAGAGAGACTCACATAGGTATTTCAAATGGACTACCACATCCTCAATATGACTTAAATAAAACCAAGGCACCCTTTAAAAACACACAAAATAAACCCTAAAAACAGGTGTATTTCATCATCCTTCTCCAGGTGCAGAATCAATTTGGCAAGGTTTCTCCCTGCCCTCTTGAACCAGGACGGGAGCTTCACCTGTTTGGTTTCTGCCTTCACCTGTTTGGTTTCTGCCTTCACCTGTTTGGTTTCTGCCTGCCTGAAGAAGACGCGAAGGGAGAGAAGTTAAGGAACTCCTGCTCAGCCCTAGACCCCTAAAAGGAGGGTTTCACTTTTTTTTCCCGACAGTTAGACTCTCGAGACCTGAATCCACGACCCTATAAACTGGACCCCCAACTCAGCCCCCTCTTGCTTTCTGCGAATGGTAGCTCCCAATCTCCTGCCCCCCCGCCCCCAGGCTTAAATTGGACTAGCCCCGAAAAGCGGGGAACGAACCAAAAGGCACCTTACCTCTCCAGCGGTCCGTTTGGGACCGCGTCTAAGGCAACGGAGCGAACCAACGCGGGGGAAAAGGGGGTGAATCATGATCTCTTGCTGTAAAGGAGGGGAAAAGGTGGGTCTTTCTCTCCCCCCCATCTAGGTCTGCAATCCGTGTGGCTGGTTGTCAGCCTAGAGAAATTATGGGCTGTGGTGGAGGAGGAAGGGAGGGATCTGTGAAGGGCTAAGGATGGGGTTATCCCCTTTGAGAGGAGATGGTACAGTCCTATATACTCCCGCGACCTAGCCCGGGGATCCCGGGCTTGGAACAACAGGTGGGCAGAGCCGATGCATCGCTGTTGTGGCTTGGGACTACAACTCCCAGCACTCTGAGGCTTCTGGGAGTTGTAGTCCATCGAGCGGCACATTTTTGCTCGAAGCTCTCTGCCTTGAAGGTCGGGTGGCATAGGAGGCAGGTCCCGGACCCGTCACGTCGGGATGGGTCAACGCGTGTCCAAAACGGAATGGTTTGCTGAAATGCAAGGTTTTGCGTGCACAAGGCAGGCGGGAGGATGTGGCCGGGGAGGGGGGCGAGGGTCTCCATGCACGCCCACTGAAATTTTGGAAAGATGATTGCTGAAAAGACAGAAAAGCGCAGAGTGTCCAAAGAGATCACATACTCGCGTGTCCACGCTGGGCCAGCCTGTTGGGGAAAGTGAAAGGAGGGGAAAGTAACACAGGAGCCGTTTAAAGGCCTAAGGAGGTCGATGGAGGCTTTGATCCCTGGGAAATGCGAATTAACAACACCAAACTGGGTTGTGGAAGTTTCCTGCCATTCCATAAAGCCTAGAAATTCTTAAAAAGAAAAAGAAAAATTACACCTTGAGCCCTGTTTGGCAAACACAAAGGCATGTTCGTGATTTTGTCGATTATACATGACTTTGGAAAAATGAAGTCAAAGAAACCCAGTTACTTTATTCCCGAAAAGGGGACAGGAATTCAAAGCAGGCATAGAGCTTGGCCACGTTTATTTTTATGTCTGCCTCGCTACTCCTATTATTATTATTGTTGTTGTTGTTGTTGTTGTTGTTGTTGTTGTTGTTGTTGTTGTTGTTGTTGTTGTTGTTGTTGTTGTTGTTGTTTTTT